GTTTTCCAACTTAAGCATTTTTATTGGTTAGTACTTGTGATACACAGTTGTACCGCGGAGTCGTCGCCAGAATGTGTCCAAGAAAAGGAGTGCCTAGCTCATGAGCGCATGCGAATGCAGTCAACCGTGCGCCTTGATTCAAAGGCTTACGTATGATGGAATTTAACAACGCGTCGGCTTGAGAATATTCAACAGAAAATATAATATAGGTACAGTTCCGTTGTGCAAAACATTTACCATTGTGTGCTTTTTATATCACCCGTTATGAAGGATGGGTTGCGTATTTCATGTTTATAAGCTTCATAACCTTACGAGTTCCAAACGATAACGAACGACTATTGGGCAGGTGTGCTGGGTGGGCTTAACAGAAACAAAGTAATGGAAATCGTTTACTACCATGAAGCAAATAATGCCTTCCCATACAACAAGATAGCTGGACAGGCTTATACAATATTGTAGCAGTCTAGATATTCCCCGGTTTGCCTGTGTAAAATTCTAACTAAGATTATTTCATTGTATACCTAGGCAACCGGTGTGGTTTGTTGAACTGATCGCTGAGTTTGAATGCTTGACTTGCCCATCGCCATTTTTGCTTGGCGCACGTTTCGGTTGCAACTAGCGACTGCCCTGTGTGCTGTGCATTCTCCTTTCCCCTAGCTAGAGCGTCCGCGGTGTCGTTCCTTTATAGATAGATAACAGGGAATCTTTTACTGTACCAATAAAAGTTTCCCTGCAACTCGATCTGTCTTCTGGAATCGCTCTCCGGGCTTCCGGTACAGGCGACCCTCTAAAATATTGACCGTGGAAGTTGGATGAGATATGAAGCAATTAAAAATTACGCAGTTGCACTCTTACCATTGTGTTTTTACTGAATAGTCACGCAAAAGCAACTCAATCCCCTGATATACTATAAAAGAGGGTTAAAAGTTTAACTCAGCTTGTCCGAATTAGTACATAATTGACAAAGTATGTGCGAAGTAGTAACTACGGCAATTACATTTGCTATTCTCAATCCGAAATCTATGCGAATGCACTGGGGGCTGATCGAATTGGGATCGGAACTCCGGGGACCATCGCCAGCTAGCTAGGGGAGTAGTGCCCCAACAAGTAAATGCCCAATGCCGGAAGTCGTTGTTCCTAAACAAACAAGTATGGATATTGCGACGTGTTGCAGTAACAAAAGAAAGTCAAAAATGTTGGGTTTTTTAGGAAATTTGTTGCCATAAAATTTCTACAAATCGTATCCAATTCCCTCATAAAAGCCACCAGTCCTTTCTCATAATTGCTAACAGGAAAAAATATCGCGTCTTATCGGGAAGTGGGACTAAAAAAATGTTTCGCCTTCACAAGCGCTGATGGTTCTGTGTGGAGGTGCCATTTCATTTTGTCCAAATGCAAGAAAATGTTTCACTAAAGTGACTACTTAAGCGAAGCGAGGGAAAACCAACATGTATCTTTTGGATGCGGAAGGAACCGTTAGAAAATCTTCGTAGCCGTTTAGCTACAAACCAGGCAAATTCTGTTAATACACAAACCATCAAGTTTATCAGCAACTGCACAGCTTAGGCGCCCAAAATGCTACTGCAACTATCAGGTGTCTGATGACGGAGTACCTCAATTTCCAAGCCCCAATTCTCAGCTCGATTAGTTTCGGAACTCTTCCAAAGCCGCGGTTGACGTTTTCAGCTATCCGCAACGGATGCAACGATCACTGTCTTGGCTATATATTGCAGTAACTGTTCAGTAACATGTGCAGCTACACCCGATTCCGGCTCACTTTACCAGTCGTTAATATCCTAATTATCATCCCACAATCATGTGTATAGGCTAATTCGAACCAGTTCGATGAGCGTTACTCAATGCATCCCACCGCTTGGGTCTAACCTTTGTGAATCATTTGTAAGTATGAGGGGAATTTATTGGTTTTTTGAGAAAATTCGTCGCAGTCAAACTCAGCTACACAGGTACCACACATACAGGAAAGCGCTAGACGGCCGTTTCATCATGCTGGGACTCGTCATTAGCGCGCACTCGCCGTATCCTTTCGGATTCGAACCCATGACCTTTCTCTTACAAACCAGCGACATATGCCGCGGAGCCACTAGTGACGGCGGCGGATCAGCATGACCGACGTCTAACTGTGATATAGCGGGGCTCATCCTCCACTGCCATGTAGGTTACGATCGTGCAGTGGACAGGACTGGCCCCCGGAGCTACGACTTCATTGTTGTGGCTCACGCAGTTGTACTAGTTTAGTGTTGGCGCGTCTACGCGTGTAACTACATAGCGCGTGGGCAGTTTTGGAAAAATTTTGATCGCATACCAAGAAAAAGCTCAGGACTCACAAACAATCCTGCAACCATTTCTGTAGTGCAACAAAACTACGCATCATTTCGAGTCAGTTCTTCACAAAACATTGCTGTGAAGCTAGTGCTTCTCAGCGCTCTGCTTTTGTCATCCCGTAACGTTAGTCCATCAATACACGTTGCCTCTTCGTGTGTGTGAGCATGATCGCTGAATCGGTAATCTACGCGCGCCGAGAGTGGGACAGGCTTTTTCCTCGGCAAGATGAGCTTGGTGCTGGCGCAAACAACATAGGATTCAGGGGCTGCCTAAGCAAACATAACAAGTTCACGTACCCTCATAGGCGTCATGGGCCGACCCGCGGTGACTAAAGAAGCTTGCGTAACATTGCCAAATACGAGAACAAGAAACCTGGTAACTTCAGACCAATCAATAACAGGTCAAACTCATTTTGTTCTGCGTGAAGTGTAATACCGTCTCATCAGTTAAGTATGTAATTGCACTGTAACAAAAGGATGAAAGGCTGACAGAATTGGCTGGGCAAAGATAGATTCAGTAGGAAAACCATGGCAAAACGTTTACCCAGGGATCTCCACCGCAAGCCAAATCCAAAACGCCAAGTGTCTCACTAACTGAGTCCCGCAAATATGGAAAAAGATTACAATGATACTAGTCCAAAGCGCCCGAACTACTCACATCTAGTCCAGTTGCAAAAAATTTTCGCGAGCCCATTTCCTTTCATCAGACTCCGCACAAACACGATTCAAACCAATAACAGTGGAAAGTAAGCTGTATTTGCATCAAACAATCAGCAAGTACAGTTTCTACTATCATGCTCCCAATCGAAGTTAGAGTGAAACTGCCTGGTCTCCCAACTCTGAAGCATACTCTTCTGAATGATACAACGGGATGCCCTATCCACAATAGTTAATAAGGTTCCACAGCCAACAGATGAACGACCTAAGTCATTGGGACGCCATAAGCAACCTAATCTTTGTGTGCTCTGATTAAGTCCATCAACCTGACGAGGATTACCTGTCCACCGAATTCTAAGCATCATGGTGAGGCATAAATTCTTCGGGGTGTGCTAAACTTTGTTGTTAAGGTTGAAGCCGTTTTGCTCTGGACAGCTCGTGTCTAGAAAGGACCCTGTGCGGTCCGTCTTTCCAGACATGCCATGGAGCGAGCGAATTATGCAGAGTTCCATATAAAAACCGCAGTTTGAACTGTTTTGTCCATGGTGTCTCCCAGTATCACGAGCACGATGAATGCGAAGCAAAAGGCTCACAACCTGAAGTGGTGGCATTGTAATGGTGAGCTCCTGCTGTGAATTATGTTGTAGCTTCTTCTCAAGGATGCAAGACAAGCAAGCTACAAAGGGTACTGACCAACGATAATGAAGGTTATGCTTCAACTCAGACAGGTAGCACTTAGGCCATTGAAACGCTGGCAGTCACTTCGGAACTGACTGCCAACTGGGCTCCGGTTCAAAGCAGCTAGCGAAGATGTCGTCGGGCTCAAAGCGTCACCTTATTAGCAAATGAAGTGGGAACCGCGCTCAAATTTTACACAGGAAACAGATCCGAAAGAATTGCGGACCTCCCCATGTAATTCCGTATCCACTCAGCATGCATTGTGCAAAATCAATTGCCAGAGTGGCTACTTACGATGCCAGCAAACCCAACTTCAAGTGAATCGCCGATAATTCCATCCAAAAACTGCCAGCGGCCGACCATACAACGGTCGGCACAATCTCTTATCCGAACCGCAGGTCTCTAGGATCGCTGATGAGAACCGAAACCCTGTCCTAGATGTACACCAAGGACCAATGCCTTCTAGCAAATTCGTCGAGCTTCGGTTGAGCCAGGTAATAAACGCTTGGGATCTCGAGACTTGTCTATATTCAGAGGTCACTGTTCCGAGACGATCGTCCAAGCAGGAGAGGTGGTGTAATCCTATACCAACGCAGCGACTTACGATGCGAACCACTAGATGATCCGTAGACGAAGGTCACCGATTCGCTATGGTGCCGTTCGCTTAGTGGTAGTAATTGATCGCCCCCTATCGAGAAAAAATTACTACCAACTTGCAGCCACGTTCTAATCTCCGGCGATTTTAAAGTGCATGATCTGCACGTCTTGGCACCCCGCTCGGCAAAACATTCAAGACCGAACTGCAGGTGCTTATCGCAAGTATCCCACTGCACAATCACACCACCTCACATAACAGGTACAGGGCTGACAATAAACCATCAGCATTAAACCTCATAGTTACAAGTGAGGAACTCACGATCGACAGGCCACTGGTAGGCAACCCACTTTGGTTAAATGGGTATGTCAACACACTTTACAGTGGAGTAACACGGAATTTCCGGAGCAACACACTGAACCAACACGTAGTAGCATATGCTAAGACATTCCATCCCATCTGGCTCAGATATCCGATGACTCCTCTGACAATGCCTGGATTGTTTGTTAAACATTTCGGCAATCTGATCGTAACTGTCCAGTTCGTTCCGCCAATCCATCTTCGTTCATCAGGACTCAAAAACGCGCGTGACTAAAGAATGGAGGATGGCAGATTTAATGAACCTGTCCCGGTCCAGAAACCCGGAGCGAGTACGCGACCCAGTGTAAACATTTTACCGTTTTTGTTGAAGTTATGAATGTATAATTCAAGCAGAAATGAGAACTGACCGCGATGCAACAAATATTTCATTTTAACACGATTCTCAATGATTCAGTGGCAGATAAAAATATAAAAAGAATTAATGTCGCCGCAGTAGAATTCAGGAAAGGTAGTAACCAGTTCAAAACAAAGTAATAAAAGAGTTGATATCCTGCCGGAGGCGCGTGATGCGTAGAGAAAGGACGGGTCGTACATTGATCACCGGCTGGGTGCGCCAGTATTGTGGAGCAGGGTTTGTTCGGGTATATGGATACCGAGCTTCGCCAGACTCTATCAACAAAGAAGCACGAGATGCAACGGGTGAATTTTTGGTGACAGTTGATTAGATTCACTGAACTTCAAGAGAAAGCTATGCAGTCGGAAAAGTTCTGGGTGAATAGACAAGGCAGGCGTATTGATAGAATGTAAATTTGCTAAAAGGAATCAAAGCACTATAGCCGCTCAAGATGGTAATCAACACGGTCGGGTGCACATGTGCAAGAAGTTGGACCAAGTGGGCGAATCGTGTTTACGTACAATCACTTTCAAACGTGAAGTGAAGACCAACAGGCAGGCTGATCTAAACAGGAAATAGACGAAAACCTCCGATTGGTTGTGTTCGCTGCGAGAGAAGGGACACTACCACTGGAAGCTTAAGAGCACGATGAACGGAGTAATGAGCTTTTCCCTAAGCAAATAAGCAGTAAAAATCATGATACATACACGTGCATCAGTCTAAAAATGGACATGGATTTAATAAAAATCACGAAAATCGAAGGATATTATTAGGTGCTGTGGCAATGAAAAAGAAGTCGAACAGTTTTTGCCTTTTACCAGGTGTCATTTCTGGGAGTTGTGGCACCATACGTAAAGATATAAACAATTTTGTGCACAACTATCCAGTGATTCAGCTGGTGTGAGATATATCTTCAAGCATCCCGATCAACCAGCATTTCTCGACCGCAGCCACGTAGACATATGGATCCGATGATGGTTATGCACAAAGTCAGGGACTGTGTTTTATCGTCAAGCGAAGAGCTGAGCGCCACGTGTTTTCTAACAAACTAATCCAGTACAAGTGAACATGACGTGCCTAATGCTATATGTGTAGAGTTCGTTGAATGATCGCAGATAGGGGAGAAAGATCAATGATGCACCAAATGAACGACTTGAGTTGGCGAAAATAGTGGTGAGCAATGCGATCCAAAAAGAGAAGAAAAGGAGTAAACATGGGGGCAGCACTCGCATATACACACACTCAAGTGTACTGTAGTCCTACGTTACTAGGCCGTAACACGTTAATGCCGAACGAATGCACACATTCGCAAACGGGTTTGGGATGCTGTGTCAAAAGTTGAATTTAACCAAAATGGAATAGGCAACCTGTGAATGCAAAGGTACGACCCATCAGGTGATTCGATCCAGTTCGGAGTTGGCAGCGTATATATATATATATATATATATATATATATATATATATATATATATATATATATATATATATATATATATATATATATATGGCGGGAAAGCCTATGGTGCGCTGAGGCAAGTGGTGGCCCGACCCTGACAAATGATCTACCCACTGCTGCTGCTGCTGCGCCATTGGCTCATGTCCTGGACGTCTCCTCGTGCCGACCACTGGGTGGGAGTTGGGTTTCGCCCTTCTCCCTGCTAAGATCCAGGACACCAATCCGTATGAGTGAGTGAACTGATCATGTGCTAGATCCACTGTCTTTCAGGTGTTCATTTAATCGAATGCTTTGGCTGAGGACCCGAGTAGTTCGCCTGTCAGGTGTGGGCGCCCTACAAGTATCCTAGTCCATCCTCTTCGGTGGTTAGGAAGTGTTCGATGGCCCTCCTCCCGTAAAACCTAGCCATGGGAGACAACAGGTCTACGGGTTATATGCTCACAGCTCGATTGGCGTAGAGCACGAGGGCCACGCATTGCCCTGACGGTGGGAGGGCACCTCCGCATGTTCAACGGTTTGCGACTGCCCGCCTCAAGTCAGGCAGCCCATGGCCAATTTGGAGCAAACCCGCCAAAACCCACCTGCGTCTGGCCGTGGTCGCAGGTGCGTATCCTGCTACGGTTGCAAACAAATATATGAATTGTTAAACTACCTCAAAGGCTGATTGTGACGGCCGTCAAGCAGATCCCAATCTGACTCTGCAATCACATTCCCGAGGTGGATCTGCTCCCCACTGCCTTGTGGGTCAGGTTATTGAGCCAAAGGATCCGGCGGAGTCCCTCAAGCAAACCTCCAAACCACCCACTGCCTTGTGGGTCAGGCTATTGAGCCAAAGGCTCCGGGTGGAGTCTCTCAAGCAAACCTCCGAAACACAACGACCACCTCGCGTGCGATTGCCCACCAATGCAATAGTATGGCTGCGCGCAAAGCACTCAGCATCGGGTGCTCGGAAGTGCGGACACTACTGGACCGGAACCCGAGAGAGCGCCCCGAGCGACGCACTGCACTCGTCGCAATGGAAGTGGCGCGCTACAACGTCGATATTGCGGCGCTCAGTGAAACTCGGCTCGCTGAGCAAGGTAAGTTGCATGAAATTGGTGCTGGCTACATGTTCTACTGAGTGGGCAACGCCGCCTCAGCACCACGTGAACATGGGGTCGGATTTGCAATATCCGATCGCCTAAATAGCCAGCTAGTGGGTGAATCAACGGACATCAGCGCGCGACTGATGACTGTTCGCCTACGACTCGGAAGAGGTATGTTTGCTACTTTTATAAGCACGTGCGGTCCGACCATGTGTTATCCTGATGACACGAGTGATCAATTCTACACAGAGCTATCCTCCGTGATACGGTCTGTGCCGAGGAGCGACCGACTATTTCTGCTGGGTGATTTCAATGCGCGTTGGCCGTGATGCATCGGCGTGGGCAGATGTTATCGGTTCGCATGGCATTGGTTCAGCGAATGCGAACGGTGACAGACTGCTCTCACTGTGTGCCACTCACGGCCTGACGATCACCAACACTCGGTTTGCACTGAGTGCGAGTAATATAGCAACTTGGACGCACTCACGAAGTGGTCACGCTCACCTGCTCGACTATGTCATCGTACGTCAGCGTGATATGCGTGAAGTGCGCATGACACGTATACTGCGTGGAGCTGATTGCGGCAATGATCACAAATTGGTGCGAACCAAACTGTACATATATTTTCGTAAATCTATGTATTGTAGTCCCGTCGTGAATCGGCGTAACTGTTACATTCTCTCCCTTGGGTACTGGGGCGAAACGTACTGAGCTGGAGAAGGCGATGGCTGCACGCCGGTGTAATGTGGACTGCATAGCCACAGTGGGCGACCTGTGGCACCACATTCGTGACCAGGTGACAGCAGCTGCCGAGGAGCCCATCGGACGCGCAAACTGTAAGCGGCCTAATTGGTTTGATGACAACAATGCGACGATTGGCGCATTGGTGTCGGGGAAGAATGCAGCATTTGCTCCACATGTCGCAGATCCCAGTGACTTGGGGAGGAAGTGTCAGTTTCGCAAACTTCGACGGCGACTGACTCGAGAGCTCCGTCGCAGTAAAAATGCAAGATGGACGGAGAAGCCAAAGCAGATAGAATGGTACGCCGAACGCCGCCAACACAAGGAATTCTTCGACTCCTTGAAAGCGGTGTATGGACCGAGATTGGAGCCGCTGAGCACGCTGATCGATGGTAGTTCAGGCGCTACCTGTACACAGACTGCAGACATAATGCAGATCTGGCGGAAACACTTTAACTGCCTCTTGAACAACCGTCCAGAGATTGACTGGCCTAAATTGAACGGCCTCAAGGGGCACGATGTGAAGACGAGTCTGTCAGACACGCCGAAACTGGATGAGACGCAGAGAGCACTTGCTCAGCTGCGAAACGGCAAGTCTGCGGTGCCGACGGGATCTCGCCTGAAGTATTGAAACACGGCGGATCCGCGTTGGTGACTGCGCTGCACCACTCGGTGCAACACGTGTGGATTGAGGAGGCGGTGCCTCCTAAGCTGAAGGATAGCCTTGTGCTACTAGTGTACAAGCGCAAAGGTAGCAAGCAATGTTGCACGAATTATCGTGGCATCAACTTGCTGCGTTGTGTGAGCAAGGTGATTGCCCGAATCCTGCTCAACCGCCTCGTCAGTCAGGTTGTGGAACCTAACGTGGCGGAAGAGTAGTGTGAATTCCGCTCGGGTCGCAGCACCATCAATATGATGTTTGCGGCTCGTCAGTTGCAGAAGAAGTGCAGAGAACGACACCAGCCATTGTACTCGCTTTTTGTTGATTTCACAAAGGCATTTGATACGGTGAACCGCGAGGCATTGTGGCCAGTGTTGGGTAGGTTTGGTTTCCCGCGTAAGTTTAATTGAATGTCTGCACAGTGGTATACAGGCGAGGGTGCAGCTGAGTGGAGAGACCTCGGATGACTTTGCAGTTGTCTCCGGTGTGAAGCAAAGCTGTCACAGCTCTTGCCCTGTTTAATATATATCTTCATGCAATGATGTCTTGTACTTTTGATGCGGCTGGTGCTTAAGGTGTTCGTGTGGAACACCGTATTGATGAGGGGTTGCTGAACATCCGTTGTTTCGGTGCGAGAACTCTAGTCTGTGAGACAACTATCCGTATGTTGCTGTTTGCTGACGATTGTGAGTTGTTTGCACACAGCGCGGATGAGTTGCAGCATATGACTAGTGCTCTGGCTTCGACAGCGGCCAAATTCGAGCTCACCATCAACACAAGCAAAACTGTCTGTCTCTTTCAGCCTTCACCGGAGGCGCAATCTTCGATATCGTCGCGAATCAGCATTGGTGCTGAAGTATTGGAAACTACCTGCCGCTTCTGATACCTTGGGAGTGTGATGTCGACTGATCAGCAGCCACATAGTGAGCTGCGTATCCGCGTGTCGAAGGCAGCTGCGGCATTCGGAAAGCTAGAGTACCGAGTGTGGAATAACCATCAGCTTACCATTGGCACGAAGCTGATGGTGTACAAATCAATGGTGCTGTCCGTTCTTCTACACGTCAGCGAAGCGTGGACGATGTACCGGCGGGATGTGAGATATCTGGAGCGGTTCCATCGACAGTGTCCGCGACGAATTCTGCGCATCAGTTGGGGCGACAGAGTTGCTGACACGGAAGCGTTGCGATAAAGTGGGATGTATGCAGTGGACTGCATACTTTAGCTGAGACATCTGAGGTGGCTCGGTCATGTGAAGCGTATGGATTCAAGGCGGATACCGAAACGACTATTATATGGTCAGCTGGGTATTGGGAAGCGGCACGTGGGGAAACCGAAGTTACGTTACCAGGACATGATCAAAGTGAGGCTCACACGTTCTAACCTTGATTGCAGATCATGGGAATCGAAGGCGGTTGATCGGCGTGCATGGCGCGATCTAATAACGAAGGCTGTTGCCGAAGTGCGGGAGAAAGACCTCATACATGCAGAGAAGAAGCGGCAAGTGCGGAAGCGGCAAGCATCGATAGGTTGTACTCCATCGACATCAAGCGTATGGTGCTGTAGCACATGCGGTCTGGAGTGCCTGAGTCAGACAGCCCTAGTGAGTCATGAGCAAGGCCACTCGGGACCATTACCGAAGCGACGACGGGTCCTGCAGAGAACGTAGGCAGAACCGGCGCAGCGTTTATAGGTACGCTGCATTCGATTTACTAACCGCATGCTTGCATGCTAAGCATATTTACTTCAGGTGGTGGGTTTTCTATTGCGTCCTAATGCTTTTTTTCTCTCATATAAATGCATACCTATACTCTCTTCTATAAACTTGCCCACATCGCTTAATCCAATTGTAGTTAAGTTCGATAACATTTTCGTGTTTGTGGGATTTACGTAAAAGATACTTTTCGACCTCGTGAACTTATCGCGGATTCTTTTGTAAACAACTTATTTCATATGCGCATTAATTTAATATTTAAGTCACCGTTTCCTTACGCAACACTCGATTTGTTATCTTTCTCGCAAGTGATTGACTGTTGTTTGATATCCCCGGTGTGGCTGCACTTGATGTGCATGTTGACGAGGTGCCTACCTGTCTATTACCCACTACCTCGTCCATACTGGCTCCAGGAGACAGTTGGTCATTGCTGGAGAGGATGGGGTGCACGGTTCTTGTGGCCGTGTTAGGCTCGAAGAGCGGTTCCATGCACTCAGTGTGGAGCGGACTACGGTCCAGCCACCACCTTGTGTGCACTCGGTTCCCCAAATACAGCGTGCTTGTGTTTGTTTGTGAAGGAGTGTGGGCCGGCTCCGTTGATGAAACGTGGCTCCTATCCACATGCCTACCGGTCTTATTCCTTCGGGTTTACATTGAATATGGGTGTGTTCGGAGCTGTGGGTGGTGCAGCGCAAGCCACCAATGGTCACCCTGTAGGCGCAGGCGTCCCGTGGCTGACCATAGTGACAGACAAATCCGAAACCGGGTATATATATATATATATATATATATATATATATATATATATATATATATATATATATATATATATATATATATATATATATATATATATATATATATATATATATATATGGTTGGCGGCATCCGGTTTCGGATTTGCCTGTCACTGTGGCAAGCCACAGGACGCCTGCGCCTACAGAGGGACCATGGATGGCTTGCGCTGCACCACCCACAGCTCCAACCACATACCCCATATCCAGTGTAAACCCGAAGGAATAAGACCGGGAGGCATGCGGATGGGAACCACGTTTCATCAACGGAGCCGGCCCACACTCCTTCACAGGCAAACACAAGCACGCTGTATTTGGGGAATCAACCGCACACAAGGCGGTGGCTGGACCGTAGTCCGCTCCACACTGAGCCTAGCACGGCCACAAGAACCGTGCACCCCGTCCCCTCCAGCAACGACCAACTGTCTCCTGGAGCCAGTATGAAGAATGTAGTGGGTAATAGACAGGTAGGCACCTTGTCAACATACACATCAAGCGCAACCACACCGGGGATATCAAACAACAGCCATTCACTTTAAACGACAAGCTGAAATAAAAAAAATCCAACAATGCATACAGATACGGTGGCATAACTCTTCGCTAATTTACCATATGAAGTAACTGCGTTAACAACAAATCCGTGATAAGTAAGAAATGTCCACAAGTTACTTAAAAATGCTACAGAACGCAACAAAATTACCGAAGATAAGCACAATTAGTGTATGCAACGTGGCCAGTTAATAGAACATTATTCAGGGAGGCAGAACAAACCAAATAAAGCGGAATGAAATTTATCCAGCTTAAAAAGACCTAGTTTAAGTGTAAGTTGGTTTAGCCCAACTGCGGTGAAGAAGCATCAAGAATGCAACATCAGCCTCAGCATGGGGCACTATATATATATATATATATATATATATATATATATATATATATATATATATATATATATATATATATATATATATATATATATATATATACACCATGTTGAAGTTGAGGTAGCATGTTTCTTCCCCGCACCGAAGTACACTTAATCAAAATCTCCTTAATCTGGATAAAAAGCATTCCATTTTGACTTGCTCAGTTTTGTTATTCTGCTACACATCTCGTGTCCACTTTGTGTGTTCATCTTCTTTAATATGCTGTGATGATTGTTTGATATCCCCGACGTGGCTGTGTTCGATGTGAATGTTGGCCAGTTCCATACCAGTTTAACCCCTTCTACCTCGATTACTGACTCCAGGAGACTGAGAACAGTTGGTGTGGTGTGCACGTTCCTTGTGATCGTGCTAGGCTCAAAGAGTGGCCACATCCAGTGCGGAACGGACAACGGCCTAGCCACCGCCTTGTGTACGTCTGGTACGCTTGATTCCCCACCCAGCTAAACAGGAATGTTGCTGTGCATGCTGAAGGATTGTGGACCGGCTCTATTGATGAAACGGGGCTCCCGCCAACATGCTGTCCGGTCTTATTTCTTTGGGTTTACAACGTACGTAGGGGAGGTGGATGGAGCTGTGGATAGTACAGCGTAAGCCACCACTTGTGGTCCCCCTGTAAGTGCGGGCGTCGTATAGCTGTCCACATTGACAGGCAAATTCGGAATCGGATGTCGCCTACAATAACTGCGGTTGAGCGCAATCTAACACATCTGAGGATAATGAAGCTGATTGTGCGAACAACAATACGTTTCTGAGATATTCCCACAGGTAACGGCGGTGTAGAATGATGATAATCTTTGTGACATATGATAACGTTGTTCAATGCAAAACTAAAGTAAAGACAACTTGGATGCCGTCAGCATACCTGCGCAAAGTAATCCGCTGTCAATCCGGTTGAAATCGAGTCAAAATCGCGAATTCCGGCAACCGGGGCATTGTTCTGAGTTTGCAAAGCATCATCCAAAAGCAGCACGGTGGCCGCGTTTGAAGTAGCGTCTTTGTTCATTCTTGATGCGGAGCTCAGGCATCCAACACGAACCTTAGCGTACTTCTGTTGCAGTGCATGAAAGTGGTCAAACAAAGCGTCAAACTCGATGCACGAGTTGATCAGTGCAAAATCTGGTTGTGGCCTGCTAGATACACTAAAAAGAAGAGAGTAATTGAAAATGGGATGGAAGTTGAGCTGGTTGTTAAATTCTGCAAGTGAACATTTTCAGTTATTCTTATGCGAGAGCATGAAACATTCGTAATGTTCAGGATCGACTCTGCGTGGAATCGGCTGCTTGCAAGCGATGCACACAGTACTTATTTACTTGTCAATTCGGTGTTGGGAAAAACCCATGTTGAAATGAGTAAAAATACGTTAAGAAAGTACATATTTTATTGACAAGCATACCATGATCAAACCATTTACGTGCTTGCATATATAGAAAGCGAAGAAGCATGTCGACAGATGGTGGAAGAAGATGGGAAAGAGTGATAAAAATCCCCAGATCCCTGTACTGTTCGTCAAGAGCAACTGTGAACATCTTTCAAAAGTGAGTCTGCATGTAAAAATGCATGCATGTGCACACAATAGCCTCTGTGTCAGTGAAGCGCACCATTAAGACATGACGGTGACTTACGCAAAGAGACGGGCAGCGCTTGGTGGCGAGAACAGAACGATAATGAAATGAAACACTTGGAAAATAGATATGGTTCGTCGGCTCGAGAAAATAGGATTGTATCCCCCAAAATACCGAAATAAATACGAGGGTGAGTCAAGAAGTGACGTTATCTTCTTTAGGACAGGTATAGTTATCAACACAGGAAGATGTGTCATACATTAAAATGGAGCTGATCCTTTGTGGATCACACCTCTACTTCTCAACAGAATTACCGTTTCTCTCAATAGCAATGTTCCACCTTGCCTCGTAAAATTCCATAGACTGTTCTTTGAGTCATTTTTCACTTTCTCGTCCCTGAAATAATGTTTGCCTCTTAAACCCTCCTTCATGGAACCAAAGAGCTGATAGTATGAAGGTCTAACCGAATGAGGCGATTGTTTCCCTTGTCCTGATGCGTGTGTGTGATCGAACCTTGTTGTGCAGAAGAAGCACCTCGTTGATTGGCAAATTTGGTCTGACTCGTTGGATGCTTGTTTGGAGACTCGTCAGAGTTTAGTGTTTCTCCTCTTGGCAAAAAAGTAACCAGAATGACATTGGCATCCCAAAACACAGTCGCCAAAATTTTCGATTGACCTTTGCGACTTGAAGTTGCTCAGTTGCGGTGATGTGGAGCCGCCCCATTCCATCCTGACCAGATACAGCACTTTCAGACTATCATCACTGGACCCGTGAACAAGGATTTGAAAAGTAAACATTATTCCAATGATGAGGAAGTGAAAACTGCTATAACGAAGTGGCTCAAAGAACAGTCAACGGGATTTTACGAGGCAAGGATACATTCGAAGGTGTAACATTGCTATTGAGAGAAACGGGGACTGCGTTGAGAAGTAGGGAGGTGATGCACAAAGTACCAGCTTCATTTTGATGTATGATAACTGTTCCGGTGTTGATAACTATACCTGTCGTAAAGAAGATGGTTACTTTTCGTCTCAGCCTCGTACATAAAACAAGTGTCGTGCTTTAACAAACGACTTTGATTCGGTGAAGGACTCTCTAGTATCCAACATATGTGTGTGTAATGTGCACACGTTTCCGACATTCTAAGTAACTCGGAAATGTCATCTAGCAGACGTAAGTGGTAAAGTGACGAGAACATTGGATAAGGGGTGGATATCTGAGTTAGATCGTCGCATATACGTGATTGTAACTTCCAGATTCTCCCTTACCCACTTTATTCACCAGACCAAGCACTCACGTACTTTCAACTATTTCCAAACTTGAAAATTACTTAGCTGGCCCAGATTTTCTCAACGACAGTGACGTCAATGAAGCCGTGGAGGAATTTGTAGGGTCACTAGCTGAAGACTACTTTTTCACTGGGATAAAGGCACTTCAGCAACGCCGAAGTGTGTTGCGCTTAAGAGTAATTATGTTTAAAAATAAAAGTACTGAAAACACCTTATCTCGTTTGGTTTTTTCGACGCTCAAGACTTTCTGTCCACCTCTAGTACTTAGCTGTTTCATGAGTCTAACCAAACGTCAGCACAGCCCTGTGGACTACGGTACTGCTTGTGATGAAAGCATGCCGATATCGGATGGCTGTTCAGTTGTTGACGAATTCTGACGTGGAACGCCGAGTAGGTCTCACAAAAGAATCGCTGAGTGGTACAGTAAGAAATAACGATGAGGAAGAATTTCTTAATGGCAAAGTGAAATATGGAGGCAATCTAACAGCATGCGTCAGAGTAACCTCATTAAAAACAGTCGACTTTTGGGTTATACTTTGGAATTTCTACCCATTTCCTGACAGCGCGCGGTATGATTGTGTGATCCACACTTATAAAAGTGGAGTGGGAGAATTCACCTGCTAACATAATTACAACTCGTATTGTGGCCTTGGGTTCCCCTACAAAAGTTGCGCCCCGTGGCGGAGCTGCACGCTAGCAGGCGCGTCTCCAGGTTGCGGATTGTAGAATGCCTTCCTTGTGAAGGTAACTGCGAATAAGTCTCATTTGCTTTGCAGGCGAGATGAATAAACAATCGTGGACAATCAGCGGAAGCGTCTCAGAGCGTGGGGAGTACAGTACTGGTCACCTGGTTCTCCATTAAATACCACAAGAGCTCGTACGGCGTTGTGTCAAAGCCAATGTGACCGGCTATAGGGTTACTGACCACTAACTTCTGTAACTGGATATAATTATCTAACAGAGAGCGGATGAGCAACATTGCTGGCCAACGGCTTCGCTGTGAACTGCAACCGAACACAAAGAAGGTGAGTGAGCTAACTGGCTGTCATCGGCCTTCGTAAACAGCAACTTGCGTGAATCGTCCTGCTGCCTTGCGGGTCAGATCGTGTGGAGCAAAGTCTCGGGGTGGGGTTTCTTTAATTAACCCTCTTCCTCGGTCTGGGCAACCGGAAAGTTCTCTACCCACAATAAAGCATAAACCCAACAAAACCCTTCGACTAGCTGCCTGTTTTCTTCCTATTTGCTTTTGTGTTGAGTGTCACTGTGCCAATCACATACATGTAAGAGAGAAGGAATGAGACGACAATGGAAAACGACGCATAGGTGCATGCTCGGAGATTCGCCGGGATGGGGCAAGCACGTGATAGTTGATGATACTCGTAAATGAAGGTGAAGATTCCTGATTATCAGATAATAGAGCGTTGCGTCTGTCAACATCATGCGAACCGAAACAGATGAGAATGGCTCCACAGACCTAAATGTCCTGGGCCATTTCCTACAAAGGCAGATTTTGGTAGGTGCTCCTTAGGGTTAGATTGAAGCAAGAACAGGAAAAGGAGTACAGACACCAAGTTCAAGGGTCATCAATGAGAGTCTGATTTGCAAAATATAGAAGTGGCTTTGCTAATCTTCGCCACCTATGACGCTGGTGTGACATCACGCTCGAGCTGAAGTGCTGTCGTCTAATCAGGTATGACACAGCACAACAGATCAAAGTATGGAAAGATGCATGTTGAGTCCGATCGCCGATGTATGAATCCATGTGGAAGATGCGTCGCAAACACAAAAGTGTCTCGTCCAGAGACTAAAAGTTCGTAGATACGTCACTTGAGTGGACTTCCAATCCGAACAAATTGGTCGAAACAGGAGTAGTTCTCGCCTCCTCAGTCATTGTCAGCAGCCATAAAGCAACTTTACTCATGCGACAAGGGGGCGTAGAAGGGAAAATGTAGAGCAAACGTTTCCATGGTGATCAAAGTACCGCTATAATTATCTGCTCAGCCGCGTAAGAAACGAAGGGGGAAACAAATATGTACCGCTGAAAAGATCCCAACTTGTCAGTCATGCACATGGCTGACATGATGTAATTCGTAAATGGGGAAGCACCGAAGCATTACGAAAGACACATAGCTTATGATTTGAAACGGTTAATTTTAGTAAGGGTTAGTGATGGGTTGCAAGAAAATGGGTCAGACAAGGAGAGAGAGATGATCGAGTCACCTACACTTGCCAATCCGAAAGGTTGGCTGTAGGAGGAATGCACTGAACCCGTCGCCAAAGCGTTTGAAACGCATCCGTCTGAGGTAGGCACATAAGCAGGCAATACAGCGTTTCGCGAAGATGGGCACTGTATCGTTTGTCGAGAAGATGCAACCGAAGAGCTGAGTGAAGAAGAGAAATATGCGAGTGCCTTCGGTAGACATCCAACACATATCACAGTGGTACAGACTGAAGCTAGGTTGGTGGGGATAGATATTTAAGACAGGAAATTAAAGCTCACGCAAGTTGTATGACATGTTGAACAACAAGTACATCGTCTTAATATGGCTACTGATAGGTGATTTAATCGTGTAATTACCAAAATCGAGGAATTCCAATTGGAGCCCGAATGACGGTGGACATCAAGAGCATGGAGTAGCCTGATGATGTGTAAATATGGGCTGAGAGTGGCAGAATGTTATTGTTATCGGATATGGACAGGAACGTTGTATAATTGGTAGAAAGAACTAATAAAGGGGATATAAAGCCCGATAAACTGTCATGAAGCCCATGAACTCCTCAGCAATCGGAACCCGCACCACAGACGAGACCCAGGAGGTCAAAACCGTGATTTCCAGAAGCGTGGAAGTCTGCATGATTGTGAGATGACTGCGATGAAATCAAAAAATGACTAATTAATCCAGGAGGGCTAAAGATGGATAGCAACGCAACGGCAGAGGTATTGTGGATGGAAGGTGCGCATACTGGGACACATGATGAGGCCTGCCGGGATACAAGTGGACTCTTAGGAAAAAGTTTAGGATATCATCGGAAACCATAGCCGGTTCAGAGAAGACTAGGTCCGTTGATAGCAATGCGTCGGAACGACATGATGGAGATAGGAGCCAAAAGTGAAAAAAAGCAGTAACCAACAGAATGACTCACTGGCGAAAATGGGTGATTCGAGCAACTGTACAAGTTGGTCCATGTCGACAAATGTATCCACAGTCATGCTAATCTCACCGCTGAACAGGCAAGTGCGAAAGCGAGGAGAGGTTAAGGACTTTGCGTAGTATCAGTGTAAAGCATGATCCAATGAGAACAATGGTAAAAAGATGGCAAAATGCAGACGTGATTATAGACTGAGGCAGAAAGGTTGAAAGAGCTACTCATTTGGTCCAAGAAGGTGAGGTTGGGGACAAAAATGCTACGGAGAAGAATATGAATGAGAACCCAAATGAAATCGCCGCTAAGAATGAGCATCACAACTTTTGCAGAGCAACCTGCGAGTCTGGCGACACAGGAATTCATTCGTTAAATCCTTCTGCCATAGTAACAGCGACCGGGTGTCCGTATCAAAAGTGGCGAAGGGCGCATCAAATGCGACGACGCTTGTTGTTTATTGAAAGACCGGAGCACCACTGACGAGATGCGGCAATGGTTCGAAGTTAGACGAATACGATTGACTCATCAAATATTAGTTCAAGATTTTAGTGAAAAACATCACGGAAGCATTAAATGAATGTGAATGATCATGACAGAAAAAGATGGAAACGTCACATCCAGATGTATCGAGACCGCACAAAAGTTCAACGACGCAAGTAGTATTTCCATGCATGGCGAGATGGTTGGGAGCAAGTACTCGTGATTTGGTACACGTTTAAGAAAACAGCTGCTCCAGTGAAGAGTCCTAGAAACGAGCCCGTACTAAAGCTAGCGTTGTAGTAAATTCACCTTATCGTAAAGGAATACGATATGTCAACTTGCAGAGAAGTGCTAGACGGTTATTCGGCAAATCACTGTAGTGCATAATGAAGTAGCTTTCTAAGTGACTTGAGCCCAAAGCTAGCCCCATTATAAAGCTGTTCAGAGGCATTTTGTAGAAAGAAATGAGGCATATACCTTGTGATACAGGTCAGTCATTAGAATCCGTGTAAATGTGACCAAACTCCGGGTAACCGTAGCCTGCGAGCAACCGGTGGTGGCCACGTGACAGCGGAAGCGAAAAATAAGCATCCTCGTTGCTCCCGGCGATATAGTTAGTAAACTGTGATACATTACAGCGTCCAACCACTATGCGTGATCCAAAAAGCGCCAATTCTCCTTTAAACGGTCCCAATCTCACACGCCCCGCGTTCATTCGTGAACATGAGTGTCTAAGACACGAGAGAATTCGGTGTGTGTGTGTGTGTGTGCTAGTTGGGATGTAAATGGAAGGGAAACGTGCACGCTGATCAGATTCGAGTCAGTAGCTCGGTTGAGCAACCTCTCTCAAAATGTGTCCAGATTGCACAGGATCGTAAGAAAGATGAAACCTTAGACACTCAGGACAACAAGGTAGAAGAAATAACACCAACCAGCTGCGAAAACTTGATTTAACAATTTTGACAATAGAAATTCACCATAGAATCATTAATGATGATTCTTCAATAACCTAGCTCACTATTGTGTCGCAGCTGTTGTGCCACCGAGGCGAGACAGCCGACTACCATGGTGTACTCTAGCAGGGCGAGATGAGCCAGACCACGTGAGCGACTGATAGACTCGTTGCCATGGTTAAAGCGGAAGTTGATAAAAATCAGTCCATCAGCTTGATACAGGCGTGAGTGAGCGCGACTACAGCCGGCCAGTGCGGACCGCCAGCAGGTTTGGAATCTGTCCAAGCAAGGGCGTGAGTCGGCTCAGGAACGTACAACCGGAGAGGACGAAATGTGACCTATAAAATGAACCGTGCTCCGTTCCTACTATACTTCGGTGCTGATTTCTTTCCCGGCTGGATTAGAGCGAAGAGGGCAGGCATGATGGCAGCGCTACAACGGTTGCTTGGCTAACTGAGGGTAAAGGCAAAGTTCGGACAGCAACCACGGATCTGTTACCAAGAATACTCGTACTCCGGAACCTGTCCCACAGTGGTTCATTCTTACTCGTTCTTCATATCTGTCCATTGTGCGATTTTGATGGTCTACTTGTGACATCCGTCGGTGTTTGGAACAACATAGTATTGAACCGAACTGATTATGAATCGCCCATCCAATCCACGCATGAAAAGGTATGAAAGCATCAGCAGTCTCATAAAGTCGCCAGAACCTACTCAGATTCAAATCGGCAACCGCTAGATTACAAGGCGGGCATCTTATTTAATCGGCCACCGGCCCATCCAATGATCCTCAGTCTATTGACTCGGCGAAGAAGGTGTAGGAAGCATTTGAGTGGCTTTTCGTCTGGTAGCCCCGTGTCCGTCCCATCCCCTGCGCTACCCGTTATCATTTTACCGTTGACTAGTACGCATCGAGATGTCTACGGAAACCGGGCAAAAGACCGGATTGGAGGGTTATTAGCCCAGAGATGAGTGGTTTCCCTCAAGGGCGGTAGTTCTGAAGAGAAGTAGGATCCCAGAACAGTTGCCTATAAGTCTATCGATGAGTATAGGTATCAAGTGTGTTCTGGCGATGCAAATTTGCAAAGGAGCTAGAAGATACAATTCCCTCAGGGACTCGGAAATTCGTAAGCAAGTGCGGACGATCTAACGATGTCATGGAGGGAAATATGCGGAAAATAGGGGGAAACGGTCATGATGGCCGCCAGATTGGTAATCACTGAAGCCGACTGACTGAGTGCATACAAAGGAGATGCGTGCATGCAAAAGCTGCACTTCTGTAACGGAATTGGGACGAATTTGTCAAAGTTCATGTTGCGTTCACACGAACAGGGAAAATAGCAGTCGAAGTCCAGCTACATGGGAGCTGGTGGATGACAACAAAACATCCGGATGCCGTAAGTGGACATTAAGCTATTGTGGTCCTCCAAGTGATGCTGCGGTACTTGCGGCCCAGTCGAGTAGGCCAGATGGGATGGTTGGTGGCACCCAGTTGCGGATTTGCATGTCACTGTGGTTAACCACAGGACGCCTGCGCCTACAGAGGGACTATGGGTAGCTTGCGCTGCACTACCCAGAGCTCCATCCACACACCCCATATTCAGTGTAAACCCGAAGGAATAACACTGGGAGGCATGTGAATGGAAGCCACGTGTCATCGACGGAGCCGGCCCACACTCCTTCACAGGCAAACACGAGCACGCTCTATTTGGGCATAAATCGCTCAAGATGCGGTGGCTAAACCGTAGTCCGTTCCACTGAATGAATGGAACCGCTCTTCGAGCCTAGCACGACCACAAGGACTGTGCACCCCGTCCTCTCCAGCAACAACCAACGGTCCCCTGGAGCTAGTATGGACCAGGTAGTGGGTAGTTATCTTGTAATCATGCATATCAAGCGCAGCCACACCGGGGATATCAAGCAACAACCAATCACTTGAAACGACAAGATGAAATAAAATAAATCGAATAATGCATACAGATAAGGTGGCATAACACTTCGCTAAATTACCATATGAAGTAAGTTGGATAGCAACGAATCCGCGATAAGTAGAAAATGCCCACAAGCTTTTCAAAAATGCTACAAACGAGATAAAGTTAACGAAGATAACCACAATTAGCGTAAGCAACGTGTGCAAGTAATTAAAAGATTATTCCGAAGTATGTAAATAGCGGACCCTAAAGATATTGACAAAATACCGCACCGTTGGGTACAGCAAACGGTTGGCAGATGCAAATGAGCCATTGTTCAAGTTCAGGTGTGACTGGAAGGAAAGCATTATCCAGTGAGTGTTCCTTCTTCAGCGGGTCTTTGAACAAGTTGGCAAAGTGAAATACTGGTGGACCTAAAACAAAGACCGCATCACACCCCGTCCAAGCAATTAATGCCCACGTATCCTGCCCTAGCAATCCCTGCTGGGCCGGTTACGTGAAGTAAGAAAGAGAAAAAATAAACTCAGAAGGAAAGAAGAGAAAGTGGAAAAAGCCAAGCAAGTAGAGTATCAAGATATTTAAGTTATTAAAAAAAGAACTGAAAAGTGAAGGTGAGTCAGTTAGAAAAAAGGAAAGGTTCGAGGTTGACACCCCAGAACATCGAGCTGGAGCGCAAAACCCTTAACTGTAGATTCCCTAACCACATGATCTGGAAGCGAATTCAAGCGATCCATAACGCCTCAGGACCCTCCAGAGCTTAAGGTCGTAAGCAAACATTAGTGATAACACTTCCAGCTCCTCCGGCAAGTAATTTGTATAGATTGCGAACAACAACCGCCCCAATATGAACAGTCCTGAGATGTTGCTTACTTTTATTTATAATCTCTCGATAACTATCATAGGTACTGGCTGATGGAGCTGCTTGGTAGGTTCGCCAACATCTAGACCGTTTTTTGAGTAGGTACTTGCCTTTGGTCTTTACCCATGGAGGCTGTGCCCATAAACCTCATTTCCTCATGAGTGGAATATAGGGAGTGGAAACCTCCGTAAGATATGCCTCAAATCTATCCCAGACTAACTGGACGGAGTCGGCCATCGAGATCCCACAGATCAGAACTGAAGCCATAGCTCGCACTGCACCAAAGTCCGCCGGTCAAATATTCGGAAGTAATTCAACGGCGGCCGTTGGTGCCATGAAAGAGCACACCGATAGGATAGTATGCGTGATCGCTGGACCATAGAGGTGCGCCGGACGAAACGTCAGTCACGGAGTCGAGGGACTTAGCGAAAACCAGACCTAAAGCAAAGGGTATTTGGGGGTTCATATACCTAGTGGGGAAGTCCCCGAACTGGTGCAAAGGCACTTAGAGAGTCAGCTAAAGTAAGTCTGCACCGAATGTTCCTGAAGCCGAATTGCAAAAAAAAATCGGCCCAAAAGACTTCCGGGAGGTTGAAATCCCCTAGAAGTAAAATCCTATTCGCGGACTGAGTGCGAATAAAGTCAAGTATCGCCCTGGAAGAACTTCCAGAACTCCTGTATATCACTATAAATGTAAACTGGGTAGAGGAAGTGCACAAAATAGCCGATAGGGCTTCAACCGTCTGATCCGACGACTGGAATGTGCATCCTCAATACATCTAAGTTACAGCTTACATAAAGTATAACGCTTCCGCTTTGACGACCAACGGAGCGATTAGTTCTAAGCAGTGTGTAGCCAGGTAAACATACCTCACCGTCCGTGATATCCGGAGACAACCACGTTTCAGTGGAAGCAAGTATGTCGGGACGAGATTTGTCTACAAGTAAACCCAACTCCTACACGTTATTCCTTAGGCTACGCACGTTGCTAAGTACTACCTCAAGGAAGTCGGCACGACCATCCCTGGGTCGTGCACCACCAGGATGGGCTCTGATGGGGCGGGAAATAACTTCCGGCTGACCACTTGAAAACCCACAAGACAGAGACCTTGCTCACCAGCCGCCCGTCTAGTTTTTAGGTCACTGATAGCCTGCTTCAGTTTCAATCTATCTGAAAGTGGGAAGTCTGGCTGAACGCTGAAACCACTACCCTTAAAGTTGGAATGCAAATCGTAGTAATGCTTTGCGTTCCTCCGGAGTAGAAAGGATCACGGGAAGTAGCAGGGGTCGCGGATTTGGTGTACCGATAGGGACGTTCCCCGATCTGGCCAGCGTTCTGACAGTGACACCAGGGAAACCAGGTGGAAGCAAATTGGTGACGCACAGTTTCAGCCACTTGATGTCATCCAAAATGCGTTCCCTTGGGAGAGCAGCCGTAGATTCAGTAACGTTACGGAAAACAACGAGTACTATCCGTGAAAGAGTCGCCACGACGGAGAGTAGTTACCCCAAGTGCCTTGCGTTCGACACTTACACCAGGTGTCTTCACCACTGGCAGTGGGACTGTACCTGCCTCTACAAACGACGTCGAAGCAACGGTGGTTTAGGTTTCCGCTCTGTTGCGGGCGTCTTACTATTTCCTGGGTCTTCAAGCCCCTTCGAAGTTTCATGGGCAGATCTAGTCCCCTCCTTCTTTTGGCTCACGGGAGAAGGGGCCGTTGATCTTGTGTCGCATTGAGCAGTTACCAACACGTCGTCAGAACCGGTTGGTTCAGTGGCAGCCGAGACGGTCATCATCTTCGGAAGGTTCTCCTGTGCACAACCGTCAGATGCGTTTACGACTGACGAAGACTGCATCTTTCTCGATGTCTTGGCAACTAATTCTCTGGGTTTAGTAAAAGGCTTATGATATTTCCGCACCCTATTTTTCTTCACTCTGACAGGCTCATGAGGAGAGTCAGCAATACTACCTGGAGTGCCCGGTAGGATGTGCGACTTCTTGACCGAGTGACAGACCCCAGCGGATGGATCTTCAGCAATGTTGCAGTCTACTACAGTGTCCTCAATCGTAATATTCAGGGATTTTAAAAGCAAATCCATTTTCGTATCGAGCGAGGCAATAGGGGGGAACTTAGGTATCGCCTTTTCAACACCCGCCAACCATGAGGCCTGCGCTAAAAGTTTACCGCGGGAGAGAGCCGGGCGCGTCGATCTCTGAGCGCAGCTATCAGCACAGCCGATAACGAAGTGAACGCTAGATGATAGTATTTTGTACTGATCTGCTTGTAGACCGGTACAAATTTCGCGATACCAGTGGCAGTAAATGTCAGGTTACATACCGAAGGAAAAATATGTTACTGGCTCTGAACAGTTAGACTAACCGCAAGCTGCACGAGATTCATGAAAAGAAGACCCCAGGGGTTCAACCGTCTCGGTGTTTATCGAGAGCCATGTTCATGTGGAAAACAGGGCAGAACTATAACATGTATACAATAGTAAAAGGACCGCGATAAAAAAGGCGAAAGCAGAGTACAAAATAGGATTAAAACTGGTAACAACCGTAAAAATTAGTAGTAAGCGCCAAAGACGGTTTGGCCAGTACCACTTTAATCGATCCAAGATATATTGGATCAGAAGAAATTCGACAGTCAAATTTTGTTTCAAGTGTTTATTCAAATACTGTGTTCCACATTAGTTCAGCTAAAAAGCCCGATCAGTATCGAAGTAACGGCCAGCCCAGGTCGAGTAAATGGTGGCGCTTATAATGTCAATAATAAGGTCACCCAACCATGGACTTGATGTGGCATATTTGGTGCGTCACCGCTGAGGCCAGACTGAACGGCAGTTATCAGACATGTAAGGTTCATATACCCGAGCGACATACTGCGCTCTATGCGAATAGTCTGAAATGATGCAACTTCGAGTGTCGGCCAACCCAGTGTGGGTACTGAGTTGAGATCAGGGGCTGGTTGATTGGAGCACAATACAATAACTGACTTTTACAATTTTGTGATGTTCTGGCGATCGCAGAGAGTAATCAACGATGCCCTATCAGTTGCATCCAGCAGGACAGATAGGGGTTCGGAAGCTACTGCACAAGCCTTCCTCTTCCTAAAGTATTTCACCCTTATCGTCCGGTTTCAACTTCAGTTCCTCAGGTCATAAAGCCCCCAATTCGCAACCCTCCAACACCTGGCTTTCATAAGCGTTTAGCTGTTAGTTTCAACTCACAGACAATCGAGAAATGTTACTTCTGTTCTGCCGATAAGCCCATGTCCAACCAAGTGGACAAACTCAGTTCATCGACCCATGTGTAGTCCTCGATTCTCCTTCAGATTCGCAGGCCTCAACATATGCCCGATGCTACAGATCGGTCAACAGGCAGCACCTGCCCGAACATTAGAAACCCTCTCGACCGATATCTGCTGCTTATAGAAAACCCTTACATGACTCGAGCTGTGTGCTAGATTTGCAATACCCTTCAGGTGACACTAGCAGTGCTTTCTCATTGCGCTTATCCAAAGACGATGCAGCTTCGAGTACCGGCCAAGCCGGTATTAGTATTACCCAGAGGACCAGGGCTAAAGCTGCTCTGGTTGATTGGATTCCAATCAGTAGCCGGAGGTGGAGCTGTGCTACTGACTAACTTATTCAAGGTTTAAAAATCGCGCGGGTCTAATAGGTGCCTGTGTGCCAATGCTGCATACACACACACAAACTGCAGCGCTGACTCTATGAAACACGACTATTATCGCCAACTGAACGGTCCTTCGTCAGAGAAGAAACACGGGTATGCAGTGCTGTCTGAAGATGTGAACGCTCAAATTGGAAAAACATCCACTGATAAGCTGCATCGAGGCAGCCAACACGGTGTAGGCTTCCGTAATGATAATGGTGAGCGGTAAGTTAATTGGTGTGAAGATGCTCGACTATTTCCCATCGGCACTAACTTCCGACACAGAACTTGCCGGAGAGTGTGACATGGCGCCCAGCAGCCTCGAAACAAACATGGAGGCAAGAAGTCAATGCTAGAGAGACTGCGTAAAAAAACTGTCGCTCGATTTAGAGCACATGTGCGGACACTAGCCATGTGCTTGTATGTGCTGATCTGCAGGTGCGTTTTGGAGGACGTGCGCGACGACGCCGTGAGCACATGGAAACCTGTCAACTGGCGAAGCCAGATTTTATGAATGCGTATCAAAATAGGCTGGTATCGAAGCTGAGTAAGTTGAAGGTCAACGGTCGCATATTCACAAGACCTTATTAGCATCAAAGAAATCCTCAAGTGGCAAACCAAAATGCCAACCTGGATATTGGGTCAGAACGCAGTCTCTGGAACTTATCGATGCTGGCCGGCACATTCCGACTGGAAGCGAATACAACGAGACTCGCAAAGACCTCAGGGCGAAAATGCGTGCCAGATTGAAGAGAGACCGCGAATCCTGGTGATCTCATCGTGCGACGGAGAGTGAAATGCCGCAAATATTAGCACACATTTTAGACTTCGTTTGACAATTGAGAAATTATGTTGCCATCATCTAGGTTGCTTTTCCTATTATAGCTGCGTCGCACTGAAATGTTGTCATCTACGAAACGAGGCACCTTTCGATCTCATTGTACTGAGCACCAGAGTCGGCTGCTACTAGAATCTCCGTTTCATTCTGAAGTACTTTTCTCACAGAGTAAGACTTCCGGGATGAGTCCGCATTTTTAGATGTCCCAAACTAACTACTAGGGAAAATGTACACTGTCAATTCACCTTGATACAGCGGTGCGAAGGTTGGAGAGCTTCAAGGGAGAAATTAGCCGGGTTATTATTTCCATTCCAAGGACTTAAGTTATGCACCGCGAAAAGTTTTTTGGACACCTCCCAACGGCGATTTGAACCAAGACAACCATACATACAGCTAAACTCTGTGCAGCATAAGACGATATACGGATGCTACCACTATCAGTTGTGTTATTTGCGAACTTGAGGCATTTTTGTGCATATTCCGAGCTGTGGGATTCATGCAGCATAAAATGCCCCCTGTTACCTGATTACGCCGCCATATGCGCCTCTCGTTGGAATCGAAAATACCAAATGTATGCATTGTACGCGGTGACAGGTATCCTCATTAGACGCCAAACGGTAGAGATGAAAAGGATACAAGGATTTGATCAACCTACTGCATTGTTCATACATTTCCGTCAGCATAAACAAAGAGAGCAGTGCGACCGGATTGTGACACCAAGCGCGATACAGCCGCTCGAGTAAGTGGCATCCAGTCTGATGGAATAGAACGAATGGAAAAAGTGAATCGCTGCAGTGAAAACAGTGATATGATACAAACGTAAATGCAGAGATGGAGTGAATTGATCAGAAAACGAAGCCAGACAAATTGGAAGGGGTGATAAGCTCCGGTACAAGCGGAATTAATGAGGGTAAATGGAGCACGGAGTACCATGGTCTGCTCGAATAGGTAACAGTCCAGAGTCCTACAAAAGCAAATGAGCGACGAGACAAGCTCGAATGCCTGAAGCGGCTAACGACACAAACAGAGCATAGACATGGTATCAAAGATCACCTTGGTATTGATCGCACGAAGCTGATTTCGAAATTCATGCAAGGCCGGTTGAGTGAGCAGAATGCGGTTTAGAGCCCGCACTAGAACCGAGGCGGACCGAAGGTGAATAGTGTGAGAAATGATTGCGGACATTGCACCATAGACAATGTCGGCTCCCAAAACGTGGCACAAGTCGCTGTGAAAAGTAGAGACAGAACTGGTGAGGTTAAATGGACCAATTTTGCAATTGTCTATGACAACAGAGGATATACGACAAGCACTAAATGAAATGAAAATGGTTATGACCGGAGAGAAGACAAGGTTAAAACGTGCTCAGTGAGGTGACCAGTTGTTGAACAAAACAAACAGGAGGTAGTGGAGTGAACTAGAAAGGACGAACAAACAGTTCAATTGAGCGGGTGATTTAATGCAGTTGTATGGCAATACATATGGAGAAGTGAAGCGTTTGAGAAGCGTCATTATTCGCAAACATGGGATTGAGCGCGAGTGTAGGATGAATTCCAACCCTTCTTCAGAGTCGTTAATGGTGTGCGACAGGGCTACTCAACATCAGCATTCCTGTTCGAACTCGCTAGAGATGAGATCTTGCTCTGGACAGCTGTAAACCCAGTGATTTCGGTCTGCTTTCAAGAGAGAGACTTCGGGACTTGCAGTGTGCTGCTGACGTCGACGTAGATTGTGACTCCTCGCAAGTTTGAGTTGTCCACTTGCCAGTTCGGATTGGTGTCACCCCTATTTAATTGGCTAGCGGTTACCTTTACGCTTAACCTTTCGCGTTGTCCTGTGAAAACGATCGGCAAGTCCGTTTACCTCGAAGGCTGTCCTAAAGCTGACAGTTTAACGGACGAAGTCGCTGTGCGCTGCTTATGCTGATCTCGGTAATCTCTGGTGCTAGTAGATTTCAGTATCTCACAGAAGTGTAAAATTTACAATGCCAAGGTGAGAAAGGCTCTGATGTATAACCGCGACACATGGCACATTCACAAAAAGATGTTTAGAGCCGTTCGTGTTTTGAGCACCATGGTATCCGGAGCACGGTAATGGAGTCATTTGTTGACGGATTTTCAAATCAGAGAAGCTATAGCGAGTGCTGGTCAGCACATGGTTCGGTGGCTTAGAAGCACGCTTCGAATGCTTGCTCAGTGTTGACCTTGATCCGCCGTATGTACACGTGCTGAAGTTGGTCGAAAGCGAAAGCGAGGTGACTAAGGAGTGACTAGGGTTCAAAGTACGAGGTTGGCCGAGATCTGGTGCTTTCGATTCCCGCGCTTGAGCAACAAAGATCCTGAACACACATGGCTGGAAATGCTATCGAACATCGCAAAAAGTAGCACTCAATGGCGGAGCCTTAGTGAGATACTAGTTCTTTGAGTACAGCTTCAAAATTATCTTTAATAAGTTGCATTGTCTTTATTCACATGTAGCTTTCTGCCTGAGGCAAATAAGTAGCGCACATCGACAAGACTGTGAGAGACAGACAGACTGGGTAAAGACTACCACTTAGGCGGCGACATAAGTGGCAATATTCGGCTAGACTCTGTCTGGCCCATCAGATCGGCAGACGTAAAGTGGTCGTTACGTGCGACCACTGGTGCCTTCGTAATATGCGTCATATCTGATGGGAACATCACCTGAGCAATGGGTGTGTGCAGCGCCTTGTTTATGGCACAGGAATAGGAAGTGAACCGCACAGCACCGTTAGCACACGAACCAAGTTCCGACGACTGGGCCACATATTGCGTATGCCATCATACCGCCTCCCGCTACGTGCATTGCTTACCCACAGGAAGAATGTATGAAAGAAGAGGAAGGGAGGCCAACCGACATGGTCAAGAAGAATGAAAGCCATTAGTTCGAAGGTGGTCTCTGTTGGAGCCACTCGGCTCCCCGGTACGGGTGTGAAAGATGGTGGACACATTTGACTGGATACGCTTGTGGACATGGCTAGGAACCGACCTCAATGGCGTTTGTGTTGTGAGTTCTTTTTGCCCCCCTCCCGCTTAGCCTCCTCCTCCAACCACGATCTCACTTATTGGGTAAATGTGACACTTTTTGCGGCACAATAGCCGGCTATTAGCCCTCCGGAACGGTGTCCATCCGTTACTGGTGACTCGGCCGGCTCGCCCGCATTTCATCTCTTCTTTTGTTCTTCTGGTGTACTGCAACACAATGGTTGTGATTCTTCCCACCCCTAACTCACGTGTATAATAATGATGATGAACCTCTGTCCCAGAAATCGTAAACGTTGGATCTTCATGCACCAACAACATACATTTGAGAAATACTGGGACACAAGAGTTGATGGAAAGATACTGAGAGCTCAGGCGAATACGGAAAAGACATTGTCTACAAAGTAATTACATTCCCGGCATCAGCAGTCGCACAGCTGATGTTCTGAGCTGCATACTAATTCATGAACGTCACATGAACCCGATCTCCATGCGAATTGATTCACATGACGCGACATTTACATATAAAGCCTCTACGAAGCTCCGCAATCCATCTAGACCCAGTTCTTTAGACAATCAAACAGATCTTGACAGGCATGCTGAAGAAGCCGGCAACTTACAGCCATTTGTAGCACGCAGGAACCAGCTGAGCCTATTGGATGGTTGCGTGCTTTGGGGTTCCCGTTTGGTCTCTTGTAGCAAGACTCTTGCACAGATACTTTACGAGCTCCATGATGCTCGTCAGAACGTCTCGAGAATGAAAGTATCAGTCAAGGGACACCATTGTTTCTCCAAGAATGAAGTCAGATATTCATAACATGCTGAAGAAGTGTCATACTTGTCAAGCAAACCAACGCAGTAGAACCTCAATTGAGTACATTAGTGGCGTTGAGCCGGCAAGCCGTTGCAACGGATCTAACAGATCCGGTCAGTGGGACCAGGTTTCTTTTATTCATCGATACCCAATACAAGTACGTTGAACTGTATCTTGTTAAGCAAGCGAGTCCGAAACAACAATTATTAAAATGCATTCATTAATCGTTACACCTGGTAAACTAGAGAATCTATGGAAGTATAATGACTTCCTTTTTGTTAGCACCGAGTTCAACAAATTCGTCAAAAACAACGGAAATCCGCACATAAAACCGGTGCCTCAAGGCAAACGAGTAATAAGGCGATCATTGCAGATAGTGAAGCGAGGATTGTTGAAACAGCGGGGATCCTTCCTACAGACAAAACTGGATCGTTTCCGATTTGCTTATCGTTCCACAACCACTGAGTACGCATAAGTCTCCTGCAGAGCCCACGTTTGCTAGGAATCTCAGGAAAAGGCTGAATCCACTGTTTTCAAATTCGCGAATCGGTATTGAGAGATAGAAGAGGTCATTGCATTCAGAAAAGTTGAAAAAAGAGGCAATTTTCAGAGGAAATGACTTGGTCTACAATAAATTGCCACAAAAAACACTGGCAACCTGCCACCGAAATTCCTTCCTCGGGAAGCCTAAACGACATCTTACTCATTGTCATCCAGCCAATGTTCGTAAATAGGTTTCAGATATACGAAACGAGTTGTGCGCAGCCAAAGAACCAGTAACTGAGGACGAAACGTACAGAAAAGTCAGCGAGATGCTGTCGGGGCGATCGATCCGCATTCCAAAGCCAGTTGATTGTTCGCAGCCGAAGCTGTGACGAATCTATGGGGGTGGGCTACACTACAAATGCACCCACAAATACACTCATGTTGAGGGACACCATACATACGCACACCACTTTGATTGTCGTGAAACTGAAAGCCGGTCGAGAATGTTCTCTCGGACGGTGGTTACACTGAGTTGCGCGCACACATATTTCTCCTAAGCTGGGGTTGCGGGTTTTGCAGAATAGACGCCCACAGACTAAGACTTATCAGATGTGAAGTCATTTGCGAGTTCAGACGAGGTGGAGAGAAAGAATGCGGCCAAATTACACAGCAAGAACAAACAGCAGTGAGATCAGGCTAGGTCCCACATAAAGAAAACTGTTGGAGGAGCGCGGCCATAGCAGCCTTCAAAGCCGGACCTCTAGCTAGTAGCCCCGAGCTGATTACCCAGGCAATAACAGTAAGCCAATGATATTGTTTTAGCTTGAAATTGACCAACCAGAATTACTTGCCTTCAGTGAGCGCCCTACTTCAAAAGCCAACAAGCGAGTTTTCACTTATCCAGCTAGAATTCAGGAACTTACAACTAGGTCATTCTTATGAACTACAACTTTTCCCAATTCATTACATCGTTCCCCAAAATGCATGGTTCATACGAGTGCATACGTGCAACGTGTCAAAAGACGCATGTGATGCAGCTTCAAGAGTGACCGATGCAAACATTTGGGGGATTGATGCAACGAATTGAGAAAACGCCTAGTTAGTTGGACGCCATATTTTGGTTGTACATACTGTCTCTCAGGTGCTCCATAAAACTTTCGCCAGAGGTCTTTGTCTTTTGGTGTTTAGAAGTGGCTGGACCGAGACATGTAACTGTGTCGGTTAATCGTACCGTCAGCGGAAACAAAAACGAACATACTGAAACGACTAAATGAAGACGTAAGTCGCATAGCTAACCAAAGAAGAGAAAAATGAACCGCTTACGTGATAATCGCGTCGCCCCGTTGGGAAAGCAAAGTAGCATTTGTATCGAAAAATCCAACTAGATCAACCATAAAACGGATGCCAAATAGATTACAGCCATCTGGCTTGGTGCTATCATCATCAACAATGGTGCCAGTGGCATATTCGTCGGCGTCCGTCCCAGCGCTGCGAAGGGGAAATGATGAGATGCCGGTATGACTGTCTGAAGGAGCAGCGAGAATGCAGAACAGGTCTGCTGGAATATTTAGCGCTTCCAGACTTGGCTTGTCCAGTAAGGCGACTATATTTGAGTGAATAGACAAATTGCCCAAAAGGCGGATGGCGGAATGAACTACCTGAAAGGACAATGGAGGCAGTTGCGTTGACAGGAATAAAAGCATCTTTAGAGGTGCTGAGTGTTGGAGTATTATAGCCGCGGGAACCGGTTGGCTGAAACGGGGGAAATTGTGGACGAGTCAACTGTACAAGTAAGAGTTAAGACATCGATGCAGCAACGAGCAATCGTTGGCAGCAGAAAATAAAGACCTAAATTCTGGCAGCTTCGAGATGTACTCCAAAAAGCGAGGACGTCGGGACCATGGTGGTGGGGTTGCCACAAGCCACTTACATCTACTGTCAAGATAATCGGAAACCGAGCTGAACATTGTGAGTCACATGAATGTGATGGAAAAGCACGCTCGAGGTGCAGACTATAGTTCGGAAGACAGTAGTTGCTGAAGTGATGCTAACGATCCAGGGAATTCGGTGACAGTTGTTTAATGATACATCAAAACCGGAAAACCATCAGTAGCGGAGTAGCAATTCAGCGCAATCGTACGAATGGTAATGGCCAGCATGGGAAAAAAACCTGGAGAGGATCTATGACCTCTGACTAAGAGCACCGACACCATCCATGGCTAGTTCGCTTTTAGACAAGAACATGAATGGGAAGGGAAATCGTTCAGGATTGCTCAACGAGTGGAAAAGCGTACATATGTTTAGATGATAGTCATAGAACTACAACATTTTTGACGGAAAGAATCTGCGTCGCCTGATTTGCAAGGTGTATAAACAAGGTGAGAAGCCGAAACCAAATGGCGACAAATATGATGTATGCGAATAAATCCGATAACGATCGCGACAGGGATCTAAAACGACCTGGGGGATAAGGGGCAATTTATGGGGCAAATGCGACCAAACTGAAACGCGCAATGGAGGACTGATTAAAAGGCGAAATATCTGCGGCTAGGTAATCACATGATAAGTAACGGGGTAAAACGAATGAAGGATATTAATCTCATAGAAAAACATTCCCCTCAGAGATCTAAATAAATACGCAAATAACATTTTATTCTTGACGATGCGAGACACACCAATATCGGCATGATGGCGGGAGTGCACATTTTATAGAACCTTGAAAACAGGTGGATCGGGAAAATCGCATATTAAATAAGATAACGACGATTGGAAGACAAGGAAGAGATAACAAACAGTTGACTGGATTGGAAGGATGGTGGCTGGCTTTTAACCGTTCTCTCCCATATAAAGCAGCTGGATCACGGGAGATAGTATGATGGTGAAACATGCACTGGGTCAAAAGAAAACCAAGATTCTACTTGTACGATTGGCTTGTTGAGATGGAACAAGCAAACATGTTCTGACCACACAATAACTTGCTGAGGCTTTTCGAAAATAGTGTTCGAGATTGCAGGCACGTAGTCCGGGTGGTGGCCTGTTCCAGCTTCTGGCGAAGGGGAAAAGTTGACAGACCTGACGGTCTTGGACTTCCATTCCGCACTGAGTTCTGTTTGTTTCGTGTGTTGTAGACTGCTGATTACAGTGACGTCATGTTGCGCTTGGAAACATGCATATTTCTGTGCAAGATGTTATAGAATATAACTAGGTTATGGTTCAGGCGTCGTAGCCAGAACGGATCAAGCTTGAGCTTATCACATTGTTTAGAATATTCCAGTTTCAAAGAAGCACCTAAAAGATGCTTTGTGAATGCTCCCTGCACTCGTTCCAGCGCAGTGGGGTCGCGGTTTTTTCAGCTGCTATACAACAATGAACAATATTCCGACGTGGGTCGAACAAGTGATTTGTAAGAAGGAAGTATTGATCTTAGGGAAAAGGTTCCGAATACCAATCCAATTTTCTGGTTTGTTCACCATTAAACAATAGTCCAACGTGGGGTTGAGCAAATGACATATGAGAATTAAGCAGTCACTTTGCAAAAATAAAGGTCTAAATATGAATTCTATGTTCTGCTTTAGCGTTCGGTAGCATAGGCTGCTTGTTCATAGAAGCCAACTAGGCATGATTATCGCAATCCCAGATCAGTAACCGTAGAGCTGAGATTAAGTGATTTACCATCAAGAGTCAGGGCACTACGAGAAAAATCGCACTTGTGGAACATTGCGCAAAATTTGTCAGTAGATAAGAATGTTCCACTTTGCACACCAGTTTGCAAGTGCATAGAAGTGGCGCTGGGTAATGTTGTCTTCCGGAAGGAAAGGATATACGCTTGTGAGGTCATCGGCAAACAGGCATGGTGTACCGAAGTTTACCACGTCAAAGATGTCGTTAACATACAGTCAGTCTGAAGGAAGAGAGTCGATGACTGCATTCCAGAATGGGAAGCGCGGTTCATGGACCCACCGTGGCTCGCTTACGGCGAATGCCGGTCAGTTACGATAGCTGTCCTCACCATTCAATAGCCACGTGGAGAATGTTGTTAACATAAATTAAGAACAGTAGCGGCCCAAGGACACTTCCATCTATCACACCACTGGTGACAGGTGTAGGCTTGATTTGTATTCCTGTATTTGTAGTACCTGCGTTCGATTTGTAAGGTATGTCTTGAACCAAGAAAGTAGGAGTTCACCGATGCCGTAGGACAAATTTAGCTAGCACGTTTTCATGAGACATCCGATCAAAAGCCTTGTGCATGTCGAGGTAAATTAGAGTAGCCGAGATACCAAGATCATGTGAGGTACTTATATTGTTCAGAAATTCGAGGTGGCACGTAATGCGAGGCCGACTATTCAAGAAGCCGTATTGAGAGCTGTTTAGTAGCTTTCATGTTAAGGCCAAATGCAGTCCAAACGAAACAATGAGATTAGTCACGACGAAATTCTTATACCGTTACCGAAAAACGACAGTGACCCATTAAGACTCTGCCAGTTTCTCACTTGGGGGAAAAGTGTTATTTGATCGGTCGTTATCAATTGTGGCCAAAAGGAGTTAAGTGAGAAGAGAAGAGAAGGATCATCAGGGAGACCAGTCAATGCCAGATAAATCACGGAAACTCTACTTTTCTTCACATGATGTGTCGATTGAATAGTGACATTACATCAGGTCCCCTAGAATGCTGTCACATAATCGTCTCGTCTTACTTGAGGATTCACACATAACTGGTTGATAATGCTTATCGGTGTCCTTGGGGGACATGCAACAGAGACTAACCTCTAGCCTTGGATCTTCACATTGTAATATATGAGGGTGTGGCAAATGAGATGAAACTGTTCAGCTCGTAGCTCGAAAGATCACGCAAGACTCTGCACTCTCGGCTTCAACGGGAGGTAGGACTATAGTACGCGACTGACCAAGAAGCGTACGACGCACACGCGATAACCAACTCGAAGACTAGATCTAATATCCACACAAGTTCTGCTTAATAGAACAGGATAGAGTCTCGTGCTTTAAAGGCGTTAAATAATACTAAGGGACTGGGTCGACTCAATATCGGTTCGAAGCGGAATGCAACAACCAAACAAGCTAGCCAATGTATCAATCCGCTTGGAGTATCCGTTATGTGAATGGACTGAGACACGCCTACGTTCAATTCCATAGTATCGGAATTTGGATTATTGCTAAGCGTCGTCCGCCCCCAAACACTGCGACCTCATCATGATCGGCTCTGCGCTTTTGTATACATTCTGCGGTCCCAGTGAAGTCACCGCAGCAGGCAGATTGCAACGTAGCATAAGTGCCGTGGGAATCAGAAAACATGCAACTATTCGACGCAGTGCCTACCCTTGAAGTAATCGCATCATATCTGGTGGTCAAATATAGTAGTTGGTACGTCCGAGTGGCTTTGTGCAAGATGCGACATTATCCTTTTGGTCAAGAGAAGTCTACAAGTTGTGGTATCTCCAGGATCAGTGAACAATCACTGGCTGACCAAATAGCCAATCTAGGTAGCCACATCGCCTCCAATGATCGGGTCACCGAAGAGTTGATGGAGATTTCCAAAGCATACACCAATACGGCCGGTGGGAAGAAAGGTTACTACCTAAGGAGAGCCATATGGCGCTGTAGATTGCCCAGTATCACAATACTATTATATTGTTATTTAATCACAATTTGTGGTACGGATATTGTGCCATCGGAATCATGGCGGAATATGAAAACAGGATCAGAGTAAGAAAAGAAAATAACAGACAGCATTTTTGTCCAATTTTCCACCCAACGGTTCAAGCTCTTTTTTCTTAGTTTGCCAACATGCCGGGATTATTTTATGACTCCGTCCACGTTTGACAGTGTACACCTGGAACAAAATACTGAAGCCCGTTGTTTGTGTTAATAGGCTTATTCGCACCTTCACAGTGGAGTATCCGATGAACCAGAGACACTTGAGACAGTTGGGTCATGTCGTTCGTCTGTTTGTCTACTGTGAGGTAACCCGAAGTGGATCAGTTAGTGGCATGGCAAAATGGGGATTGGTACACGTATGCGGATAGTGGCATCAGGACCATTGGATGGTTTTATTTGCATTATTCCAGTTATTGTTGACCGTCTGACAAATTAATCCAATCGGCTTGGATCAGGAATTCGCTAGTGAATTGGCTGGCGAAGTGTGCCAAGGTAACCGGATCAACCGTGATCCACGGTACAGGAGTCAGACTGGATTGCCTAAACACCAAATTGGACAAAAGACAGTCACAAAGTTTACCAATCAATTAATCTCCGTCTGACGATACGAAACTTGGGATTGCGATATTCATGTCTAGTTAGCTTCTGTGAGCAAGTAGACTATGTTACCGAACGGTAAAACAGAACATGGAATTCATATTCAGAGCTTTATTTCTGCGAAGTAACTACTTAATTCTCATATATCACTTGCTCAACCCACGTTGGAATACCGTTTAATGGTGAATAGTAGCTCAAAGAGCGTAACCGCAATGTATTGGAAAAAAGTACAAAAAACATTAGCAAAGCGTCTTTTGAATGCTTCTTCAAAAATGGAGTATTTTGAACGATGTGACAAATTCAAGTTTGATTCACTCTGGCTACGACGCATGAAGCGAAACCTAGTTACATTCTTCAACATATTGCACAGAAATATACATGTTTCCAACAGCAACATAACATGAATGCAATCAGTAGTCTACATCACACGAAACAAACACAAGTTAGCAGCGAAATGCAAGTCAAAGAATAGCAGGTTTGCCAAATATTTCCACAACATGTATGCCAGAAGCTGGAACAAGTTAACACCCGGAATATGTGCTTGAACGCTAGAACACGAATGCTGTAAAAACATCCACAAGGTCTTGACTGTGCATAATGTGATCAAACTGTTTGAATGCTGCATAACAAAAGGGCAACCGTACGACAAGGGTCCAGATTTCATTTGACCCAGTAGATGTAAGTTGGCTTGTCATAATAACATATTTGGTGGGGTGGTTGAAAGTAAGCCAAAATCAATTAATTTCAACCAACTATACTATGTGTTATTGACGTACTTCCAAACCTCACTATCTGATCTGATGTTTAATTTTACTGATGAAGCTGTGAGCAAGTTTTTAAAATGGTGTGCACTTACCCGGTCAAGTCTATACAAGCATGTCTCGTATCGTCGTGAACAAAAGCTTGTTAGTTAACAATGAACTTTGATAATCAGGTGTAAGAATACAAATGTCCGGAAAGAGAGATGAGACTATGAAAGAAAATGAACAGCAACCACAAGTTCTAGAAATCAGTTGTGAACTTACATCAGCAGCGGGATCGGCCAACAGATTCAGCATGACTGGTAGCCGACGGATCACGTGAGCCAAAACCTCTTTCGGACGAACTCTGGCGAGTATCTCGAGCCAGCGTATCGCGGCCAATCGGGTGAGCAGACCATGATGATCTAACAGTCGAAAATTCGCTTCCAAAATGGCATCCGCAGAAATGGTGGGCTGGTGAGGTACAGTGGTAGGTGACTTTGCATTTGCTGATTGCCGAACAGTGCTGTGATCCGGTTTTAGACTACAAGTAGAATCTCTATCCTCTAACTTTCGACTGGAACGAGCGACAGAGACACCAACAAGAAGCAATTAGTGGCGAAGTTGTGATAAGAAAACAAAGATAGAGGTAGCCAGAAATTCGGACAATAAAAAGGCTATGAAGCGTTAACTCGAACGAAGTAAGATGGTCGGGTTTCATAGTAAAGGAAAATGCAACGCAATGCATCGGGGCCTAAAATATCGTCTGACGGGTCAAGAGAATCCGTAGTCACACCAATTGCAAGAGAAAGAAGAGGTGACACAAATGGTGTCGGTAGGTTCTCAAATCAAGTCTTACAGATAGATCGAGTAAAGCATCAACAAACTACAGCGGCTTCCGAGGCAAGAGTATCACAGGAGTGTCATCCAACTGGTCTGTGCCACACACAATTCGGAGGGTATATGCGCGTCTCGGACAATCTCGCATTCAGGGATGACAGATGGGCGGATCAGAACCTCAAGTGCAAGAAACACACTCTCCATCTATAGTTGAAAGCGTTTGCCTTACAGATTACTCGTCAGTGATTAGGAAAAGATGAAGAAAAGCTCAGCTTAGAGACATACGAGTGGGAATCCAAGATCCAAGGATCGAAACATAGGAAGCAAAAACGGTGCCTCGATTAAAATCCTTTTTAAAATCCTCAATGAAGTTATGGAACGATTAACGATTACTGTAATAAGGATGTTACATGCAACTGCCCCCCACATGCTTGCAGCTGATCAAGCGCAGTAGAAGAAGTACTGAAATCAAAAGTCGTCATAAAAACGGATTGAAAAGTCGTCTCGTGAGATCTGACAGTGATCGCTAAGTAAGCCCGCAGGAACAAATGGACTTCCCGCAGCCATTTTCAAATTTAGCGAACTTCCTGTAGCAGATGATTTACACGATCCGTTAGTGAAACTGAGAGCAAGAAAATGTCCCAAAAGACTAGAGAGCTCAGTTATTGAGCTAGCCTCAACAGGACCCATGTTGGGAATTTGGCCAACATAAATGTATAAGTATGACTTCGATCGCCTCTGTCGTCTTCCATAAACGGACTGGTATCTGTGAAAGTCATGTTCGAGAAGAATAAAATGGATTTAGTTGAGGTCAGGGCTGCATCGATCACAGCTACACCTAATGTCAATTGTTGGAGTGCCGCCACACCATAGTCGAGTTCCACGAAACTAAAAGTGCCTTTGACAGGGTGGACAGATGTCACCTGTGGAACTGTTTGATAAGAAAACATGTACCCGAGAAATGTGTAGTATAAGCGTGCCTTACGCGTGTAGTTCAGGCAGAATGCGGGTCTATGACAAGCTATCGTTCATCATCATGATTAACAACAGTACGTCAGCCATTAGAACTGGTGCTTCGCTGCCATACGACCAAAGTGAACAACGGAACAAAAAATAACAAGAAAGAGAAGGAGGACTTAACGGAAAGTCATACTGCCCTAAGCAAACATACAGGGTCAGGGCGCCTACACTTTGTCAAAACATACAATCACAAACAGTTGGATTTCGTGCAATAATAAGGCGGCATCATCGAGACAGCTTCCTTGAGGCTTTCACTGCTCTGAATCACCACCAGCCGGCTCGTAGCTTAAAGGTAACCAACTTGTAATCTGACAACGCAGGTTCGAGCCTGTGTAGGGGTAGAGCGACCCTCATAGTACCCTTAGCTCACGTGTAACCGATGGTTGTTGCACGGTAGCGAACCGTCGGTACTCCGCACCGGCGTACTGATGATGCATTACATTTTCATTACCACGTAGATAACTCAGCACAAAACAGTTTAAACAGGCAGTCCGACTAGGAGACGGTAACAGACCCGCCACTGGTCTCGACTGCAAGTCAGGTCCTCTAACGTCTAAAGCCAAGCACAAAGCGGGTCACGTGGACTCCAGCCTGGAAGGCGAGACTGACTGGCGGCACCCAGTTTGATCGTCAGTGACTTCAATTCCTGCTGCCAAGTCAACTTTAGTCCATCTCGAGCCTCGCGACGCCCTACATCTGGCAGACAAGATAAGGTCTTCCTGGGTAAGCGGTAACGGAACGTACGAAGTATGTGCCCAAAACAACATAACTTGTTCAGTGCTATCGGTTACTCTAAAAAAAGCTTGAGTAGCACTGTATAGTACTCAACTACGCACATTGTTGCGGACACGCTGGTGCCAAGCGATACCAGCAATACTTCGCAGACAACAATAATCAAAAACCTAGAAGCGCCATAGATGCTAAGATAAAAGGGGGCAAGACTCACTCCCGCAGAGTGGGACAGCCAACACTGCAGCATTGTAAGCACAATCTTTTAGACGGAGGGAAACCTCTTTCTGTCGCCAAAGATGTCGCAGATTCAAAAAGAAGTTCTAGCTTTTGTAATGCATTAAATGACTTCAGCCGTTATGCGCCCGTCGTTGGTGATGCAAATGCCAAGGCACGTGAATTGATCAACTACCTCGAATTATTCGTAAGTAAGGGTCAAGGGATCACCAAGTGGCTGGTGCTGCAGCAACAACACTTTGCACTTTGAAGGTGCGAAACACATAATAAATAATGGGACCATTCTAGAGAGGTTATTCAGGGTTGATTGCGACGCCCCAACATCGCGAAACATTAAGATGATATCGTCCGAATAATCAAGATTAACTAGCTTCTCCCCAGAAAGCACTTCGATGCCTGCATCAGAAAGCTCTGCAAGGGAACACTTCACCGCGCAGTCCACGACAATTTTGTAAATGAAGGAAATCGGACAACCCTGAGGAACGCCACTTGTTGTCGGAAAGATATCCGATAAGTCACCGTAGACCCTGACGCGATCTGTAGTGCTGGAGTAGAGATCACGTATATCATGGGAACGACTTTTCGCAAAAGTATTTCGAGCAGAATGCATCGATCGACTGAGTCGAACGCACTCTTGAAGTCCAGGAACACAGCTATCGTCGGTCTGCGGTATGAATGATGCTGCTCAAGCACCTGTCGTAGCGTGAATAATTGGTTGATACAGCCCAGTGATGGGCGAAAACCTGTCTGATCCTCCTTAATCCGGGATTTCGGTTGAGCAGTGAGGAGACGAACGAGAATCGAAGTCAGTAATTTTGTCACAACTGGCGTCAGGCTAATATTGCTGTGGTTAGCACAATCGGTGCGAATGCAGTTCTGGTATATTGTCACTATAATCAATTAACCCCGGTTAGCTGAGATGGCCTCTCCCTTCCAGACATCTTCGAATATGGAGGTCAGCGCTTTGCAGAGGACCTCCATCCTTTAATAGTGCAGGCGGAAGGGAATCCGGGCCCGTAGCACGAAAACGATTGCGGGCTGTGATCGCATTCTGGGCCTCATCATCCGATGGAGCCTCTAAACTAACCGTTCGTGGCTCATCCTGCACCATCTGAGTAGGAAGATGTCCCGGAGCAGGGGAACAACGGAACTGCCCTCGAAAGCACTTCACCCAACGAGCCATACGATACTCTTTATTGTGAATTATGGCAAGCGCACTGTATCTGATATTTTACAGATGGCTGGTATCTTGTGAGCAGTGGTGCGGAACAGCTGGAAGAGCTTGCGATGACTGTTAGCTGCTTCCGTCTCCTCCATTTCTTTAGCTGGACTGGTCCACCAGGCTTCCTTGTTAGCGCACAGGCACTAATTTAGTTCGCGCCTAATAGTCCGTCTAGTCACACTGCGCTCCGATGAAGCCGGAAGATTTAATCTGGATTCCAACGAGTTAATCGACCTCTCGGATATCCAGTGACTGGTACAATGACGATTGACAGAACCACAAACATATTCTCCTGCGTCGGGCATAGCGACCGAGGTTGTATGCTACTGAAGCTAAGCGTCATAAGGACAAGGGAGCAAACGTTCGATACGCAAGGCATCATGTTAGGCTTGCATACCTGGGTGCTGAGGTAACTTCTCAGCCGCCAACCGAGGGAGACGGTTGGTACGCCTCCCGGTAAAGGTCATGGAAAAACGACAGGGTACCAAGGAATGATCAGTCAATGCAAGTATTACAGGACGAGTGGCAGTCCAGAATGGAAACACGCTACCTGTAACGTAAGGCAATGTGATCAGGCTGACTCCATCGCTGGTCACTTACAGGAGGACGTCAAGTGGCACTTCCACGCCCACTGTGTCTAAAAGCAGTGCTACTAAGAAACAACTGGTGCTTTGCACACAGTTGCAACAGACGCTCGTCGTTGCCAGTCCGTTCGGAGGCAGCATTACTGTCTAGCAGAGCTTCTGATGAACTCAGACGCAATAGTTGACATTCATATCCAGTGCAATTACTATGACATCAGAACTGAGAACCTTGCGTAGTAGTATGTTCAGTTCGTTGTACAGTGTCCTTCGCAGCAACAGAGCTGCGATCGGTGGGAGCAGGTGGAAGTCACAAATAGACAGCGCCTAATGCTGCTAAGAGAATTAACCTTCATTGATGTCGCCAAACGGACTGCACACAAACGGTTGTTCATGGGAATCCAATCAACCAACAAAGACAGACATGGATCTGAAAATAATGCCTACCGTAGCTTGACCAGTGGTTGCCGCATCAACATCTCCGGATGCGAGCAACCGATAGCGAGAAGACAAACCGGGCGCAGTTAATTCAACAACCCCATTAGGGTCATTGGTCCTAGTTTCGGACACACAACACACGTCAACACTTATCGTGTCCAATGTACGTGCAAGTGCAGCCTATTGACCTCTATCTTTGAGTGCGAACGTTGTACGCTGCCAGAGAAACGTGACAGTGTGAGCTTACAGGAAGCTGTTGGCGATGGGTGTCCAGTGGGTGGTGCCGGAAGGTACCTGCAGACGGTTCAACTCCAGTGACGTTATTACTGTTGTCAATCAAGCTGGGAATTACAGAAGGAAGCCTATTAATGTGGGTTGGGATGGGAGTAAAAGAAGCAGTTGGAAAAAAGAAGGGAGGCACCAGCAGTAGCATGTTTTCGCTTATCCACCTTGCTGTATGCAGCAGATAAGGCAAGCTTTGATAATCAGCGAGACGGCCGATGCATGATGTGATTGAAGTTCGAAGAAGTAGCCATAGTTGTAAGTGGGCTGAGGTATTGCCAAGGCGACCAGATCTAGACAGGAGAACAGTTAGGGTCTTTAATCAAAGCCTGTCCGTAAGGCAGCGGGGAGGTGGCAATGATTTAAATTAACAGAAATGGACGCCATTCCATTTCAACCACCCAACCTGGAGGATCAGGAGACGGAGTTTATCTGACCTCTGACCATTGTTCGACCTGGTAGGAGTAGTGCTCAAGGAGCCCAGATGCACCACCCAGAAGAGCACAATGGGTCAAATAGGTGCGCAAACCGTCGCACCACGTTAAGGTTCATTCTCGTCGCGATGGTTTGTCAATCTCCGACAGCTGTGGCGCCCGCGTGACATCAATTTCACTCAGAAGGACGGAGTCCACGATCCAGCCGTTCGTTCAACCTCTGTAGGGTCGACAGACATAAAGAGGCCTGCTGCGCTCAGCCATTGCAGCCTTCGCAGCTTAGCTCATGTCTGCTGGGAACACCGCGTGAGCAATGAGTGTGTGCTGCACCAAGTATTTGGAGCAGGAAGAGCGAGTGAACCGTTACAGCACGCACTAGGCTCCGACGGTTAAGCCACGTGTAGCGCATAAGGGCACACCGACTCCTGCGTGTGTTGTTTGCGCGCCTGGCGTCTGGATGGAAAAGAAGAGGAGGCAAAGCAATAACTTGGTCAAAATGAATGAAAGACTTCATTTCGAAGTCGGAGCGGTTAGTGTCCCCGACTGCAGGACTTGGGTCCGAAATATATGATGAACTCGCTTAGTTGGATACACTATCTGACATGGCGCAGAGCCGACGTCAATGGCGTTGGTGTTGTGAGTTTCTTTGTCCCTCCCCATTCCGCTTATCTTCCCCTCCAATAACCATCTCAAAGCCGATGCATAGTACGATATTTAGTATCATATAACGTTTCTAGCTTTCATTGTCAGCAATGTTTCATCTCATACCTTTCTTTGTGGCACATTAGCTTAGATGTTTCTCACCCTCGGCTAACATACATTGCTGATGATCATGGTGATTATGACAGCCGTGTGGCGGTGGTTGAAAACTGAGGCAGAGGGACTCGTCTGCCTCAGTGCGGTCGATCAGGCGATCGATCGAGTGGGCGAGTGAGTTTTTAACTATACAACTAGTTGTACTTTGCCTCAGAATTGAGAATAGAACGTTTGTGTACTAAGTCGGTGCGAGTTCATCCTGTTGACGTTGCTGGGTGAACCAGGCATACCACATGGTGTTCGAGGTGCTGACGTACCAAACCCTGCTCGCATTTGATGCACAAACATTGGTTCCATTGTCGCATCCTCTACAAATGACAGAAAGCATATTACCGAATTGCTGGGGGGGCGTGGAAAACGAGATGGATGGATCATACTACGCTGATCGCCTTAGATAAATATGTGAGATCATATCAAATAGCATCGGCGAAGATGCGAGATGAGAAGGCTGGAACTTCTGTGATTATGACGAAGAACCGGATCTTTCAGAAATAATCGAGTGGTTCGGTAATTATTGTGAGGGCCGATCAAACCTTTGCGCTCGCTGCTGCCGATCGGCCAACGTCAGCTCACTTAATATTGAAAGTCGGCAAGGAAAGCAAGAGATTTCGATACATAACAAGTGGGACCGCGAAGAGCATGAAAGGATTATTGCGACACCGTCAATTCAAAAACGATCAGTACCGTTAAAAGTTGATTCAACAACCACCGTGAGTATACTCTTTGAGACATACTGCACCGGAGTGCAGTACAGTGCAACACGAGTTGTCATAAAGGGTGGAACAACTTGATGATACATGCGAAAGGAAAGGCTGTGATGAAGGTTTACAGGAAGGTAAAGTAAGAAAGGCATATGCAGACACTTATGTAATGCTACCTGGAAAAAATACGCCTAGGGCATTCGTCAACAATCCGGTACAGCTAGTATTCAAGCACAAATCAAACCAAAAGCTTGAGCGCAGTGGAAGAGGCTACGGCAACTGTAACACACGAACTACAAAATAGAAGAAGAGCACGGATGTGATGGTGGCTGAAAGCTGAGGCGGAGGGATTCGATCAGGCAATCGATCGAGTGGGCGAATGAGTTTTAAATATACAGCTAGTTGTACTTTACCTCAGACTTGGGAATAGAGCGTTCGTGTGCTAAGTCGGGGATAGTTCTTTCTGTTGACTCGGCTAGGTGAACCAGGCACAAAACACCATGCAGAGGACAAGGGTGCCCACCTCACTCCAAAACGCGGCCCTCCTCATTGAACAGTGAACTAACGTACGGAAGCATAATATGGCTGAGAAGATAAGGAGCTGAAATTGTAGAAAAGTTAAGGAGTCTGAGGTCGTTGCTCCACAAGCAAAAAGCAGTACAGCTAACCCATCGTTTCGTCCAACGGAGACCCGTAGACTCAAGACAGATCCATTCTATTCGAAAAGTCTTAACTAGTCAATTTACGTCCAAAATGAAGGATATGTTCAAGTCGCACTCAAAAATGACGAGGCTGTATCAAGCCCCGAAACAAACGACAAGTGCTGAGGTGCTCATATAAAAGTCACCGGAAAGGAGTATCAAATGTTGCCGACCAATCAGTGGGGCTTGACAGATGGCTGACTAATTCTGATACGTCGTGGAGAAATCCCGATCGATCTCTCAACAGCAATTTGTTCATAATAACTGGTTACTTTCTTGTCGCTGAATACTTACCAGCACAGGGTGTATAATGCAAGTTTCCGACTAGAACGACGCGGCGGTGACGGAGTGGTTCAGAAATCTTGCTTGTACTCTATAGACCATCAATTCTAGCCTCCGTAGACGCCATCGACCTAGCAATATTCCGAGCGAGTGCAGGAACAAAGCGACGGTATTCGAATAGGGAGTGGTTCTGAAAGTTCTTTTATTTCCCTTCTTACAACGCGCAAGTTTGTTCGACAACACCATTAGTCTACTTCTCTTAGACACTAATCGTCAGCACGCTTTACCAAGCTGATCCGAGAAGGGCGTACATTCAAGTTGCAGTAATAGTAAATAATATTTTGTCGGTAGGTCTATCCGAAAAATTACGACAATAATAACGATTCGGCTTCAAGCAAACCTGTGCAGAATGAAACCATAAATAGGCAGTTAGATGGTTCATCACAGCTGAGAGCTAATGCATCTAAATAGTGCGCACCAGGATTGAGTGCGCCTAAGGTATCAGTAATGATATGTTTCACATATAAGTGGATGTAGTTGGTCACTAACAGGTGCATGGCAGCCAGAGGGGACATAAAAGGAAACAATACAAGCAAAAAGATCGATAAAATAACTTACTCCCCATTTTCTGGAGGTGAGGTCACAAAGATCTTTCTCTCGAGTGCTGAGAAGGGCTTCCTATCGACGCTCGGTTGAATGGATCCCACAAAACCCATCAAAGTTTCATTAATCTGGACTGCAATCTCTAAGGAGGCTACAAACAAGTAAAAAGTGGCATGGCAACGCAGGTGGTCGAGAGAGCTTAGGGAGCAGCAAGTGATCGATAGACACAAGCATATTCCTAGTCCAAATGGCATGAAAAATGGCGGCTGTGTTGTAGCAACTTGAGAAAACCAATGTAAACAGTGCCGAGACGGAAAATAAATCACGTACTTCGGCGATCCCGTAGAGTTTCTGGGGTCCCACTAAGCGAAAAGCAAGGCAAAACAGCACCAATGATGCTCGAGGCGAAAGCCAATAAATGTGCGCGGTCCAATTCAACGAAAGCAAGAATCCAAGTCAGAGCGGTACGTTGTTGTAGTTGTTCGGCGCTACCGGAGGGGCCCGAGACCGATGCCTGTATGATGCTGGCGCTTTGGCTCGACGTATTCATAACAATGGAGGCCGATGATCGTCTATCAGCAAGAGGAGAGTCACGCGGCGATCCGGATCGAGTGACCCCTTCATTCAGTACACAGGCTATATACAGAGTTTCGAACAAGGCAACTCTGATGCAAGGAGCGAGCAGGATGAATGGGACACATAAGCATATTACAGAACAACAATGGTGACAGCCAAATTCAGTCAAAACAATGGTAAGCTAAGCAATGAGTAATAATTGTTTTCTGGGCCTAGTACGGATTGCATTCGCCAGAGAACTGTCATTGTGAAGAAATGGTGAGAAGTGTGGCGATTTTGTGACATAGATACAGTCGGAGATTTAATAGTAATCAGCCTTGATACATCCTGGGTCAGCTATCAGCAGGCAACGGCAATGATGCTGAGGTTGCATTGCTCGATGAGCAAGACAGTCAACTTTGTCGCAAACTGGGGTACGAGTGTTGTGTGAGAACACCTCGTTGAAGGACGATTTTCCTAGACCGCTCGTACTGACTGATCGGAAGAGCTTGAAACATTGCTCACCGCTTACTACTCCTCTATTAGGTTGGTTCTTGGAATTAAATGCGTTCCAGTTCCAGCTCCGAGATTTCATTTTAAGACCAGCCTTAGAGCCTACCTGAATCCACTGTATTCATAGTCGGCGAGCATTCTTATTCTCGACTATAGCAGGTCTACCAACTTTTCGGATAGACAGAGTCCGGTGCGCTGATGACTGAAAGCACCGCGCATAGAAGCTCTCACTCAATATACTCTGACAAAGACGCTGTTCAACTAAAAACTCGATATTCTCAGAGCAGGTAGGTGAAAGCTTCAAAAGCAGGGTGACGTGATAGGTCTGCCACATTGTTAGTTGACAGTTTCTCGGTTACCAACCGTAGGAATCACTTGAAGTGTCGCAATGTTAAATTAAATCGATAGCAAACCAGAGACGACACACATGTTCCGAAAGAAACGCCGATCAGGAGTGGAGCCATACTATTTAATCTGATCAAGTTGTGTTCATCGTTAACCAGTTGTAGGAGGACGCTAACTGAGACATTGATGTTCACAATACCGAAAAGAAATAGCATTTAGGGAGAACCGATGACTACAGAGGGTTGAAACAAACGTTAAGCGCTGGTTGACTTCAGAAAGAGTAAATGACCTAATTGATCACGATGGCAATTAGAACCATGCATGAACTGCAGACAGTGCATGTTATCTTAGTAAATGTAACGGATTTGCGCAGACCTGGTCGCGTTAGCTTAGACGAAAGTTACGCGTAACCGGAGCACGGTCCCCATTCACGAACGTATTCGGGTGACACGCTGAGACCTCGAAAACAGACAACGATACGCACACGACCGGGGGACTAAACACTCGAGACTTAGACATACACTGAGCACACACTGAACACACGGGTAGAGCAGTGCACATGATCACGTGACCACGTGGTTCCCAAGTCCTCACAAGAGGAGACAAGACAAGACGAAACGATCCACAAAGGAGGAATCACAGTTGACATAATTCTTCATTTTGTGGGTCACCACGTAGAAGTTGGTGGCTTACAAAAGAAGATTGTGCACTTTATCCCAGTTGTGTCCGGTCTCCGAATGGCTGTATCCTGCTACGTTGTGGGCAGAGATTGAACTCTGCGTCTCGCATCCCAAACAGTGGATTTTGTGGCACATTTTTGCGGGGTTAGTTGAAGTGTCCACAACACCTCGCTTCTGACGAGGATTGACACGGAGGGATTTCGGTGATCTCCGGATTCTTCTTCTCCGTCGGTAAGGAGGATTCATAAAAAAATGCGGCAATCGGACGGCTTCGATCGGCGTTTTCCGTTCTGATGCCATTTCGAAGGTATCCAACAAGATGTGTAACAGCAGGTGCACAGGAAGACGGGCTGGCGCGAAGGGTTCTCCGTGTTGCAGTCGAAGTTGATTGTGATGGCGGATCCATGAGTAATCACCCAGGGAGAAATCATGCAGCATATCACCTAGGCGGGCCGTCACTGTTGCTCCGATCCAGCGTGGATGTCCTGTCCGGTAGTTGCTAGAGTGTACCGGGGCTCGAACGACGAATTCATAGTGCTTGGTGCAGGCCATAGATTTACCTGGTGGCTTTTCGATCGAGATGAGCGCTTCGTTAGTGGTGCGCAGCTTGCTTCAGCTGGAGACTGGCATCCTGGAGCGACTGGACTTGTTTTGGATCGATAGGAGAGCAGGAACGCTTGAAGGCATTCATACACATTCCCCACCCCGCGATATCTCAAGTGTGCCCACTTGAAGGTGTCGACAAACATTCCGCTTGACCATTGGACTGGGGATAGTAGGGCGATGAGCGTAGATGTTGGATGCAATGCTGGCGACAAGTCTTCGAACATGGTAGACGTAAACTGGGAACCCTTGCCGGACACAGACCTCGGGGAGTCCATGTTGACTGCAGATTCGTTGAAGACAACCCAGCGTGGTGGATGCGGTTAGTGAGTTGACAGCGGCCACTTCAGGCCACTTGGAATAGGCGTCGACCACGACCAGGTAAGAAATGCCCTCGATCGGACCAGCATAGTCTACGTGCACTCGAAATCACGGCCTTTCTGTCGGTTGCCAAGGTTGGTGTGGTGACATCTTGGATGCTTATTGACCTGTTGAGCAACAGCGAATTAAAACTACTATATCGTTATCAATGCCAGGCCAGTACACATAACTGCGGGCGATTGCCTTCATTCTGTTCATACCAGGGTGAGCAGTATGGAGCTGGCGGAGTACAGCTTGCCGGAGCTATGAAGGAAGGACAACTCGATCCGCAGTCATGAGGCAGGAATCGACCACGGAAAAGGAGTCGCGGCGTTGATACAGTTGTTTCAGTTCGCCAGAAAAGGCAGTGTTTGGCCAGCGCGTCTGAACGTAAGTGACGGCTTTCTGCAGGACGAAGTCTTGAGCAGTTGCGCGACGTATGTCGGCGGCAGTAATGGAGAGATTTCGGATAGCGTTCGAGAGTTGATGACGAACGTCGTCCTCGACGGTAACAGCGGCGATCACCGTGTCTTCTTCTGTAGCATGTTTGGAAATGAGGCGAGAGTCCGTCGGCTTGACCGAAATCCTGAGTACGGCAGTAGCGGATTTCGAAGTCGTAACCAAGAAGGATGACAGCCCAACGCTGAAGTCGGCTAGCCGAGTATGCGGGAATGCCCTTCTTTGAACCGAAGATTGAAAGTAGTGGCTTGTGATCGGTCAATAGCGTGAACCGCCGGCCATACAGCATCTTGTGGAACTTGGTGACGGCAAACACGATGGCAAGGGCTTCCTTCTCAATCTGATCATAGTTCTTCACTGCAGGCGTCTGGGTACGTGAGAGGTGCATAACCGCTTTTAAGGAACCATCTGGGAAGCGATGGGAGGGAACTGCTCTGATCCCGTAGGCAGAGACGTCAGCAGCGACAAAAATCAGCAAGATTGGATAGTAATGGGTTTGCAGTAGGTCGGAACTCAGCATGGATTTCAGACGAAGGCCTTCTCGCATGAGGGGGACCAGTGACAAGGAACGTCCTTCAGCAACAACCAATTGAGCAGGGTACGAATATCGTATAGCGATGGCAGGAATGCACTGTAGTAGCTTATGAGACCCAGGAAGGACCGCAGCGGTGACACATCCAATGGAACTGGCATCTGCTGGATGGTTCTGACGTTCTCGGGATCAGGATGACGGCCACTGGTATAGAAAATGAAACCAAGGTATTTGATCGATGGGAGAAAGAATTGACATTTCTCGGTTTTCAAGCGGAGGCCATACTTCTGGACACGCTGAAGGACCGAAACCAGGCGCTCTCAAAGCTTTTCTGAAGTGCGATAAACAATTAGTAGATCGTCCAGGTATGCGGATGTACAAGGAATGCCAGAGATCATGATGTCCATCGTCCGTTTGAAAACCGCCGGATCCGTTCTGACACAAAATGGGAGCCTGATGTTCTGAAGGCTGGCTTGCCGAACAACCTCGTGGTGCCAGCTGGGTGATTGGGGATCATCATCTTCAACCAAATTGTTCGGTGGCAGTGTTCCAGGACGTGGTGCGTTTCCACCTGACAAGTGATTCAGTATAAAAAGCCATACATATCCGTTTAACAACACTGTGACGTGGCGGAGGTGATTCACAACCAAATAAAGTCACTGCCCCTTGCTTCATACTACTGAAGCGGTGAATTCCAGCAACTTAATGCTGAAATTGTCGCCAGCATTGGGCCACAGTATGGCAAACGAACAAACAAAAGGCGTATGAACTGGACAATCAGTCACCGGCTCCAAATGGGCGAGATTCCCTGAATTCGCTCCGCTGCCTTGAGTGCAGGTCATTCGGCCAAAGACTCGAATGGTGTTCCCTAAGTCAACACCCTACTTAGGCTTAAACAACCGGGTAGTAGCTCGCTCACTGACAAAAGCATGGATCCCTCAGTGCTATAGATTTTAACGACATTTGTACCTTACTTGGAGCCTTATGATTTTGATGGCTTCATGCCAATCCGTAGAATATATATATATATATATATATATATATATATATATATATATATATATATATATATATATATATATATATATATATGGTTGGCGGCATCCGGTTTCGGATTTGCCTGTCACTGTGGCAAGCCACAGGACGCCTGCGCCTACAGAGGGACCATGGATGGCTTGCGCTGCACCACCCACAGCTCCAACCACACACTCCATATCCAGTGTAGACCCGAAGAAATAAGGCCGGGAGAAATGCGGATGGGAACCACGTTTCATCAACGGAGCCGGCCCACACTCCTTCACAGCAAACACAAGCACACTGTATTTGGGAATCAAGCGCACACAAGGCGGTGGCTGGACCGTAGTCCGCTCCATACTGAGTGTATGGAACCACTCTTCGAGCCTAACACAGCCACAAGGACCGTGCACCTCGTCCCCTCCAGCAACGACCAACTGTCTCCTGGAGCCAGTATGGACGAGGTAGTGGCTAATAGACAGATAGGCACCTTGTCAACATGCACCTCAAGTGCAGCCACACCGGGGATATCAAACAACAGCCAATCACTTGAGAGAGAGAAAGACAAAGAAAGTAA